AATAAGAAGGCGTACGGATGACTGATGGAAACAGGTTTTTATCACTCTCTGACAAATTCTTGAGTTCTTGTTGATAAAGTTAAGAGGACTCAATCAACAAATCCACATGTCTCCAAGCTTGATTTTTAATGTCACTGCTTTATCCCACTATTCTATGTAGCCCTGTTTCTCATTCACTCAGGAATGATGAAAAGAAACTAAATATTCGGCGGTTATCAGAAAGGAAACAAGAATGACTGACTGACATAACCTTCGGTAGCGATATAAAAATAATACATTAGATTAAAAGCAACTGGAAATGCAAGTCTCATTTTTCATTTCTCGTCTTAGTTTTCTGATGACGTTTATAAAACGAAGTGTCATTCTTTTCATTTGAAGTGAAGACGAACAAGTAAAGGCTCCGGGCTACTTTTAGGTGAAGCATTAGGTGAGGTAGCCTTGGGAGCAAACGTGTATTTAAATATAGATTTTCAATTGAGCTTTATCTTTTCATGTTGCCGCAATGAAAATTGGCTAATTCCAGATCACATGGGGTATTGCCATCAGTCTAGTGGGATCCTTTTTCTACAAGAAACAATAATCTAAGACCGCAGATTGTACTCGAGTAAGAAATATCATTATATTCATCAATCGACGGATGTCTTATAATGTTTTGGCTCAAAACCCCACAAGTGTTCTAGCAATGCATTCAATTAAATACTGTTAATAAAGCAAGTGATTAAAGATGTGACCTATTAAGCTTGGTCGCGGTTGATTCATACACGGTCAATATTTCGATTCGGATCAAAGTATTCCCACTGAGTAAGATAGCCAGTCGTTGTGTCTGGTAAAGTGGGGTCACTTTGAACAAAGACATTTTACGTTAGGAAAGACACTTGAGAAGACATGGCAGTTTCTTGGTGTTGCAATAATGAACCTGAAGCATGAAGACTGAATCAAATAATAGCCAAGGATAATTGATTTGGAGTTAAACAATAACCCTAACTCAGTATACCATAAATATTGCTACACCAAGGAGGTCCCGAAAATTATAGCTAGACAAGTCGAGCAAACATCATGAGACAAATGTTTTTTTTTTGTCGGCCCAGAAAGAGGACCAAAAACGTTCACAGTACTGAGGAAGGTATATCGTTATCAAAAATGTGGAAAACAAGTCAGAATGGGCCTTTTTGAAAGGTCGTCTTGACTGCATGCAAAGCTAACACGAATATAAAAAAGAAATCACACATTTGCTCGATAAAATCTGTGGTATTTCATTTAATCGTTTTAAAAAAGGATCCATTCGTGGAAAGCACAAAAATTATGAATAAGAAAATAAAAGGACAAATGAGGCGTAAAGGAGGAGTAAAATAAACTATAGAAATGAAGAAAGGGAATGAGAATTGAGTAACAAAGTATTTTAAAAACAAAAAAAATCTATGGTCGAATAAATTGCTAATTAAATGTCATGGGCGGAACACACAGGTGCTAGGATGTGATAAGCGTTTACTGATAAGCACAAGAAAACGGGGAAACGGGACAACAGGCGGTGGTCAGTCTCGCTTGAAATTTAAAATTGATATTTGTTGTCTACATTATCTGATAGTTCTACTGAAATGGAAAGTCCACACCTTCTTTAGAATGTTTTTGATTGGAACTACTTAGCAATTAGTCATCGCGAGCACGAATGGGCTATGAGTCAATAGCCCATGAGGGCGAGCGGACTAATCGTTTTAGTCAAATCCAACTACTCGGTCAAATATTTAGATGCAAACAAGTCTTGAACTAAAGTTAAATTAATTTTTTTGGCTTTTATAGCCTACTAGTAGCTCATCCAATCAAAACACAGCATTGATGATAGACCGCTAGTTGGATTTGACTAATTCCCGTCATTCGACATTTCAAAAAGGAATTGAAATGGCGCACTGCTGAAACCCAAAGCCAACGAAACCGACATAACAAATTGTTTAAGGTTAATATTAGCATAATGCAGCCAATATGCTCTATTTGTTTAGACGTAAAGTTGATCAATGGTCACTCGAGTGCGCAGTAAACTAACCAATATTCCATGACGAGACGAACGAAGTGGGTATTTTACGGCACTTTCCCAAAATTTGTTGCATAAGAGAATCCGGCAAAGATATACATAGGGGTTACGAAAGAATTTTTATCATTCTTTTGTACTGCCTTCCCGAAGCGAAACAGAATCTATGGAGCTCAGGGTACTTGCGTCGTTTGCTGCTAAGTTTGACTTACGCCTGACTCACGTGGTGACTCAAGAGTGACACTCAGTTACGACAAAAAAGATCCGGCTATCGATGGACGTTCAGTTATAACGTGTAGTGAAGCGCAATATCTCACAAGACTTGGTGTCGACTCAAGAGGGGAAGTAGCAATCAAGTATTCCAAAAAGTTTAACTATTGATGAAAGAATGATAAGTCAAGTACATTGCTTTGTGCTCAAGAAGAATTTATCTTTCATTTTGTCTGAAATCACGAATCCTACTCCAAATCAAGTACGACTAAATCCCTCCTTTTTTGTAACGAGAATTTCACTCCAAAAAGATGGAGATATTAAAATAAAATTTGTCCGTTTATCGTTGACAAGGATTAAGAAGTGACAAATCCTCCTAGATTGAATTCCTTTTTAAGATGTCAAAAAGGAAGTGTTTCACTCATTAGGTTAATAACGGAACCCACACACTTGTCTAACCACTCGAACAGTTACCAGTTTCACTTTTTAACAATAGTTTTACCAAAACGTTGATTCGAAGTCCAAAATATTATGACTAAATCTTTAGTTTTCGGCCTGTTACCCCGAAAGGTCTGTGGCGCCACCTTTTCAGTCGAACCAAACCTGCCAACGCCTGCGACTTTTTTTCAGTAACAAGCAAATAAAACTTGTCCTGATTCCACTTTTTGTTTTTTAGTTTTTCAGGCTCGAAGGCGTAACGCTCAAAACTATGATCAATACATTATCACAAGGCAGCAGAATTTAGATTTTTTTCGGCTTTATCATAAGGTCGGCTTCTGGCGGTTTTCCGAACGGCCACATTTAAAAGGCATTCCCTTGCCTGGCATTTTTGACATAATTTACATAGATTAGCGGTTAAGTATTTTTTTGGGGGGAAGGAACTTTCAACTTTTTGCTTTATAACAGGCATTTATATCACAGATTTTAAACCGTTATGGTGACTAAATGGGAGCGATAAGGATGGAAGCAGTTTGTAACGTTTCTAGTAATTTAATCGCAATTACTTTTCCCATGTTTAATGGAAAAGCCTTCCGTGAGCCATTTCAGGTCGACGGAATGCCGTCAGAAAAGAATTAAAGTCGTCATACTTCCCACGCACGCATTCCGAAGCTAGACCTTAACACTATTTACCATAGTGCAGAGTATCTATCTTAGTTTATTAAGAAAATGCACCGCGTCTGATTCAGGCGCGAAGAAAAACAAAATGCCACAATTCTCGCCGAGTTTTAATTCGTGGAAATTATGCAAGTACGAGAGGCGGAAGGAAGGGAGGTAGTGAGGAAGAGTTCGCGGACTTCCTTTACACACGTCGGCTTAACGTCTGTTTCTTTTCCATTGCTCAAGCTCTAGTTTTGCCACATTTTGGACAGCATCTATGTGAATAAAGACACATGAACATAGACAGAAAGTTAGTAGTCGGCTCTTCAGTGAACTACTAAGTTGCCGGCAAAACCCGATGAAAATATCGTTCAGTAATTAAAGTCAACTTAAGGTAGCTCGATCGAAATTGTCTGTCTGGAAAAGGTTATAACTACTCCTGTTGTACGGATCGATGTCCGAAGAGAACAACTTAAATCTCAATTCATTACAATTATAAAAACAAAACTAGCAACAACAAAAAAAAAAACTGAAAAAACAACAAACTGAAAAAACTGTTTAAACCAACAAACAACTCGAGCACAACCAAAACATTCCGATAGAAAGCACAGCCGAGTAAGCTATCATCATATCGAAGAAAGAATCCCTTATCTGCGAGATCGTTATCTTCATTGTTTTAGGCTCAAGGTCTGTCCTGGTGCAACCGCACGCACGGCCACAAAGGTCTGAGCATGGAAACAATACCTCTGCTGCTGAAAGATCTTTTCGATAAAACCTGAAGAGACAAACTCGAGATGCTTGAGATGTTTGACAGCAGTGACAGACCAAAACTTCACCTCTGTTTGACAGATTTCTTTGGTATCAGAGTGGCAACCGTTTCTGACAACCCCCTAAGGCACGCATTCCCCATAAGTATCGGTTGCCTTGAAAAAACTACATAGACACCCACGTTCGTGGCGATGCTCCATAACCTTATCCTGAAGCCATCTCTTCAGTCCTGGTGAATAATTAATTTTGCGCTGTAAGTTTTTTCACAAACGGCGCTGAATTCTGGTGTAACGTTTTGAGTAATCGCACGGCGAGAAAGATAAGCGTCAGCTAGCACAATCGTAAAGCCTTGTTTCCCTCGACAGGTAACTCCATAGGTCAACAGCTCAAGGAGAAGCCACGGAAATCCCTCCTCGTACAGAAACCAGCTTCGAGTCTAGCAAGAGCTACGGAGTTTCGACCACAAACACGTGTAGGATTTTTGGGGGGTAGCATACTAGCTGTCATAAAAAGGTAAGAACTATGTAGAGGACTCATGCTGATAAAATGCCCGTGATACTTGCCTCTAACTCGGCCCGCTGCAGTGAAGCTCGAGGTGTACACTTAAAAACGTAAGAGCAAATAAACATTTCCTGTAACACTAATTCTTCGGTAAACAGAATGTTGATCTCTCGTTAATCGGTGAGCAAATTACCTAAGGAAATATCGGAGTGTGTTTCAGTGAAGAGAGTCGAGGGCAATACGTTAAGCGCTGAGATTTCAAGTACAATAATCCATTAGATAATCAAGCCTCGGCTTTGACATTCCCCAGAAGTACATACATACACACACATATTGTATATATATTCACATGGAGTTTAATATGGAAATGAGCTAATCTAGAAATCAATACGATGTGATTAAAGAAACAGTTTGTTCCGTTATTCATAATGTTAAAGCAGAGGGCGGAGTATTCCATTGGGCACAAATGAGTTAAGATTCACTTCTATTTGCGAAATGTTGGCCCACATAACACTTTTACTGATGGAACGAGTTTAGTGCAGACAATAGGACAATAGAGTAATGAGACGCCCAGCATCTTACAACAATCGTTTTGGTTTTTATCCAAGTTGACAAGGTTATTCGGGGACGTAGTTTTCTTTGGCTAAATAAACAGGCTTAACTGGTTGCTCATATTTTTTGCTTCTAATTTTGCTTGCGCGGGTAACTTTTAGTCTGCGTGCAGCCGAACTAACTTGGGTCCGTACTCTGGTTTCCAAGCGTGGAATAAAACTTATCATTTGTACCGGAAATACAAGCATACTGAAACATCTCTTGTATTTAGAAATGAATGACAGAGGCGTGGTAAATTGTCACTTGAAGCTATTGAAACTTTACCCTGACTTTATTTTCAAAGCCAACATACCGTAAAACTAATGCGCCAATCAAAACTCGACCTGATTGCGCTTTGCATAATTTGACTTACGAATTTGCTTGTCTTCAAAACTCATACGAAAACTCAAGTGCAGTGTAATCCAATCCAATCCGCTAAACAAAAACAAACGAGATCCCAAAACAGCAAGAGGGAAAGAAGAGTTCAAGTTTATCAACTGCTTGTTTACTTGACATCTATGTGTGGACTTCACATTCGTATTTGGCACCTATAATTGCATGATTAAGTCCATTGAAAACATGACGACTTTAGTGTGTTGTTAGGAAGGACTACTGTACGTTATCAATGCGGACACCAGGACATCCCTTGAGCCACATATGTGCATCTCTTTCAGACTTTTTTTCCATTTAACTGGTGCGTCCAAGATGAGTAGAAAAATCACAAGGATTTAAGATTGTCTAAAATGGTGATGCCACGAAGCACGGTTCTGTTGCTCGGGTTGGTATGGATCGCTATAATCGTGCCATCGGTTCAACCAGGTAAGCACCTTTAACTAGAATTCATTTAGTAAAACATCCTTAAAGAAAAGCCCGTAAGTGATATTCAGTTAAGTTGACTGTAAAGAAATTTAACCTAGACTTTTCGGAACCGAAGACAAAAGTTTGATCATGTCACGCTTGGCAAGCCCGGGATCATAATTCCTGTCTTGCTATTACATTATACAGTGCCCCTGTCGTACTCTAGTATTTCGTAAGTGCCTAAAACCACACATAAAAAGAAATATATGTATATGTGTGTATACCTTGACGATTATTGTATTATGAACTTAGCGTATTTGCAAAGCTCTTCAGATTCATTTCACAGATTTTTCTAATGCATTGTAGAAGAAGTCTGTTTACCGAACCATGTTTACTTTAATGCTGGTTGGGAAACAATTAATACTTCACATGTAGTCCAATGCGGCCATTGTCATTGTACGCAATCCTATAAACCTCAAAGGAAGTTGGACTAATGAGTATTAAGAATTTTGGGTCGTCATTTTCGAATATACAACGAAACTTTCAAATAATTTCAACAAATTTTCACAGCTTAATGTTTTCCACGGATGAGAAACTCTATGCTTGTTTCTTAAGTCTAGCGCATAAAAGCTATTCGAAATACGCATATGGATTCAAAGTCCTCTGTATTTTTGGTTGTGCCTTTTTACTGCAAGCAAAAGGTTAAGTCAACTGATCATGAATTTAAAGTATTATTGCCTTTTGGGGTCGAGACTCATTCATAAATTTTTCCTAGTCATTTTGCTAAGGCCGAGTCTGTTGAGCAAACTGACCTTCAATTTGAGAACCGTGAAGGAATTTTAAAAGACTAACACGAAAACCCCTTTCTTGACAGACTAAAATGGTCTAGCCCAACCTTGAACTATGAAATGTGGCTGACAGTGATAAAAGATGAGTCGAATTCTTGTCTAAACACAGCCAAACTGAACATACGGTAACCAGTTTAACGCGGAACTTCGGACCGTAACATACTAAACTTATTAAGTCAGGGAACGAACATATGACATTTAGTAGACTTAAACCGTTTTACTAGGGTTATCCTCGAAATCATAAGAGATTAGAGTCCATCGAAAAGATTTTACTATTGGTTACCATAACACTGCGATCGATCACTCTACACTTTGATTTCTGACTCAGTTTTTGTATGTCGTATATGTCGTATGTAGCCATTGTCTCGAGGTTAAATAAACTTCCAGTGACTATCTTTGATTACCAAGCCAAGGTTAAATAAATTACGAACTAAAGACACCAGCTTTAATGATAATTCACTTACTTCTCTTAGATTAAGGGAAACAATATTACAGATTACTAAATGCATTTGATCGAAAAATCAATGAAGATTGATGGCCCTACTACCATTATGGCGATGGAGGTCAAAATAATCTTGCATCATATAATAATTATAATTTTTTTAGGAATAATTTTGATTTCGTTTCGGGGATAAAATAAGTTTACTCTTAGTTATAAAATAGATATATTTGAACGTGTTATGATAATGAACAAATTAGATTTATTTTTTTTAGTTTGTCGTATTTTAGTAGCTGCTATGTCTACGTTCCATTGAGTTCAAGTTTAGACCAGCAAAACTGTCACAAACTACTAAATACGTGTGACACGATGAAGTTAGGAAAAAAATTATTATTTTCTTCTTATCTAACCGAAAAGATTAATCTTATTAAATCTAACTGTAAGTACCATGTTTGGGAACAAACTGATTAGCAATTTGCTAGGGCCAAGTTGATTATAATTGGAAAACTTAGGACATTTTCTTTCGTTTCTCATTTACTTTGTTCCATCTGCTGAAAATTGGATGATATTACATCATAGATGAATGCAATGTACTGTCGATTTTTATAAATTATTTTGAATTAATTATTCTATTTTCGATGGAAGCATGCCTGTACTTAGATATCAATTGTTATTGTTCCAGACCAACTCACTCACTCATTAATTTATCGAGACATCAAGAAAAATATTATGACTGCTCTGACATTTCTACCTCAGTAATGGACTTCGGTCTGTTTTTCTAATATCAAATTTAACCAACCGCAATTTTTTGCCCAAAAGGTTTTAGTGTTAAGTTTTGGAACAATGAGAATATATTGGATGCTGCAAGGGTGACTTCATCAAAACATGGAAGTCATTTCAACTTGTAATTAAATCGCCCAATATTTTATCCTCATTCGCCAGCTCAAGGAAGTTTAAGAACTTGAAATAGTTTGACAAAGTTTAAACATGTTAAAAGAAATAAACGGATTCAACAACTTAATCCCTTCTGAACAACTTCGGAGGGGGGGGATTTGTTTTTCAATAGTTGCCTCGCTTCATTAAACTTGTAAGATTGTTCTACGTGTCTGGAAAGCACCCGAAAAAAATATCCAAATCTTGAGAAAGTACATGAAGTTCGACTGTTTTTTAACTTGAAATACTTGAAAGTTTAGAAAACTTTTGAAACTTCAATCTCCAGAGAGAGGAGAAAATCAGAGCACGCAAACACCTCGTCTGCACTTCAGCTGTTGTTTATCTATAATTTCATTCTACTATCGTCCAAAAACACATCCATTCCCTTGGGATGTTTTATATTATTCTCAATTCTTTCAGTTTTGTTTGTTCTTTGTGTGTTCTACATTGTTTTTCTAAACAATTCCAAGTCAAGAGTACAAAGTGTTGATAAATAATGACAAGTGGCTGATGTTTTATCGTTATTTTTGATCATGTTTGATGGTCTAATATCTCTGGCCAAGAGAATGCGTCAGTCTTAACCTTGACTCGCCTGTGGCCTTCAAAAGATAGAGGAATATTCGCTCGACCGTTCACAGGTCTACACAAGGTTAACATTCTTCATAAAAGAATCAAGTCATATGCCGTGGTGTTAAATTCGCATACCAATTATTTAGATTTGTTCTCCAGTTTTTAGATTTGTTCTTACATGAAGTAGTAACTCAGGTCGGAGTCTACCTATCTTCTGAACTTAAAATGTCATCAGTTGTCGAAAAGACCCCAGCTAAGCAAATCAAATTATAAATATTGTATAATTAAAATGGTAGACCCGTAATAAGCCACCATGGTACCCGTGAACTTCATTTCCGTAAAACCAAAGTTGATGAAATCAAGGCTACTTGGAAAACTGAACAAGAAAGAACAAGTTTTAGGCTTCAAGATAAAAATTCTTAGTTCGAGAACATAACTTACCAAAAAACGGAAAAATTAATTCGCTTTTCGTTACGTTTACTTGGGGGTGGGGGGGGGGNGGGGGGGGGGAGGGGTATTTCACTTTTTATGAAAATGCTTTGAAAATAGAAATTATTCAAATAATACTCGTAAAAAAAATTCCCATATCCTAAAATAACGCCGTAATCATGACAAAAATATGTCCGCCATGTTGGTTGATAAGAGAGAAGACAGAACTGAATGACTAACGCTTTCTATATTCTTCCAACATGGCAGCCAAGACGTCAAAACAACATGGCGCCACAGAGATTTAATCAAAGTTACGCCGAATACTTCACGACATAAAGTCGCTTATGACGGAAATGTTTTTATTTGTTTATTAACATTTAAGTCTATGTTCTCATTCTAGAATTCTCAGCGCCGAAGTTCACTAACAGGGTAAAGACTAGATATGAAGTCCCGAGCAAAAGAACTATACGATTACGTTGTTTGGTCAGCGGTAATCCCACTCCGAGCACATCGTGGACAAAGGACGGCACTCCGATCGTGAAAAACTCTCGGATTAAAATCGCTAATAATCGATATCTTAAAATCAAGAGCTTGGTTGCTTCGGATTCTGGTCACTATGTTTGTATTGCTCGTAACGCTTATGGTATGGTCAATGCTACAATAGAACTAGTCGTTAAAGGTGAGTATGTCTCGGTGGAATATGCTAGTGATTTCTCCTCGTAAAATGATTGGAAAAAGCGGGATGTCATTAAAAGAGAAAAAGAAGGAAAATTGGTCTTGCCTAAAAATTGCCTGTCTTTTTTCCCTTGCCCTCCCTTGGACCCTCGGACCATAAAAGTTCGTAGTGTCTGGAATATTACGTCGATCCTAAAACACCTCAAAAGTAAACTTTCAACACAGGCAACCCGTATCACTGACAACGACATTTCCACAGAAATCAAGATTCGTCCATCAGTAATTTTTTTTAAATCGTAAAGTTACCCAATAAAAGATAACACTGCAAAAAAGGTTTTACTATAGATGTGCATGCCACTTACCAAATTTCTTTCAATCATCTCAACAGCAATTCCAACATTCTCAAAGATAACAGACAGTGACGTCTTAAGCGAGCCAGTGTTTCATCCCATCAAGCTTCATTGCCAAGCAACGGGTTCTGCACCTTTAAAATATAAATGGATTAAAAACAGCAAAGAAATCTCAAGAACGAACACTCGAATCAATGCGACACAGGGGGTTTTAACCATAAGCAATCTAACATATTCAGACGGTGGACGGTATACGTGCATGGTATCAAACAAATATGGAGTAATTAACCATACATACGACCTTCATGTTATTGGTAAGTGCGTACTCGTAAAAGTGGCAGGGTTTTCATAGTTAACGGTCGGAGATCCGAGAGTGCTCCTCTAACTGAGCAAAATTCTCTGGCTTAAACTATCATGATTTTCTCCTATTATCTAGAAAACTTAATAAAAACCCTGCCAGGAAACTCCGGCTAGTACATGATCTTCTCCTATTATTACAAAAGCTAATGAAAGCCCGGGAGTGGGAAGCAATACGGCATTTCTTACAGTCGTACTGTGGCCGCACATTATCTCATCCTAACCGTAGCCATGCGCTGTGATTGGCTAATATCATGAAAACAATCAGCTGACATCCAAATATTATGCCATGTCGTTACATCTGAAAATCATTACTGTCACAGTCTTAGGGAAACCGTTCTTTTTAGAGTAGGTCATATAATGAAGAAACGTGCGCGCGTGCTGTGTACAGTTATAGCACGCGGGGATTTGGAGAACACGAGAGAAGTGTTAGAAGTATTTTGAGCTTTATAACTCCACACAGCACAGAAAGTTTTTTATTTCTTTAATAAAATGCAAAGGGCGCGTGTGTGCTGTGTGCTCTCATAAAGCACGCGCTCCCAACCAATCAGAATGCGAGATTTATAACAGTTATTTTATAATAGCCGTTATAGGAAGGCAACTAAATCCAATACTGAAAGACATCTAGGGAAGGTAAAAATGGTGAATATGGACTCATAACTCCTAATTTAGCGAATCCTCATCTCCTAATTTAGGTTAATCACACTTACTAAGTCCTCTTTCCATTTGGTCTATTCGTAGAAGATCTTTCAATACGACCTTGCCCTCTTACTATAGGAAACTAATTTGCGGGGGAAATTCAAACCTTTAATACAAAGAAGCGTACCGTATTCAAATCTGCTTTACAATGTCATTTCAGTCCTAGTACGATGACATCACCATTATAATATCTGACTCAAAAGTAAGGGAGGTTTCAACTGAGCCAGCCATGTTGGGTAGGGCCCGAACAATGCAACGTTTTTGCATGACACTGGAGAGGTTTTATTAAGGAGAAAATGCTAAGCTTTGCCCTCCAACATGGCTTCCGTGAAGCCCCCGTATTCGACTTATGGTTCCTAATAATTTACCAACAAAAAGCGAGTTGTAGTATCTCCTCAGAAGGACATCAGTTATTACATGTTAGCAATGAGATCTTTTTTAATTCTACTGTACTTCACTAGTGGCAGATATTTTGACAAGCCACTTGACGATCAGACATGCAAAAATCATTTAGGTGGTCAAAGTGACCTTTAACTTGCATTGAGAGGGTTTCCTGAAAGGCTCTCACTAAAAGCCACGATAAGCATTATCATAATCTGTTAAAGAGGTTTCTTATAGGTTTTACTCTTTCAAATTGTTTTTTCTTAAATCAATTTTGATGGAAAATGCGTTTAGTCAAGATTTATTCATTTAAAAAAACGGGCTAATGGACTTTTCGATCTTAAAATATCCGCAAAGTTTTTTTTAAGCCCCGTTAGAATTACAGAGACAAAACCTTGACATTTTATCGAACCCTGAAACAACCTCTGGGCTATTTATAGTCAGGGCACGGCTAACTCACAGATCGAACCCTGAAACAACCTCTGGTCTGATCTAAGTCAGCGCACAACTAAGTCACAGATCGAACCCTGAAACAACCTCTGGGCTGATCATAATCAGAGCAGGGATAACTCACAAAATTGTAATTTATCGTGTAGCTTTTAAGGACTGGGAGGAAAACCGGGGAAAACACTCGTTTCAAGAGAGACCTAAAAAAATCCTCTACTAAAACGACAAATTAACGATTTTTTATAGTTTTGTCTAAGTAATTAATTGGGGCTTCCTGTTGTTGCTAGCTATGCAATCATAGTGACATGGCATGAGACTTCACCATTCGGAAACAGTTATGATGATGTTATGAGTTGGAAAATAGTTTTAAAAAAGTCTATTAAAAATTTCATCAAGTCTTATATTTCACTTTGATCTACCCGTAGATCCAAATCGTCCACGATTTTCTGACTGGTCAAAAATGTCTAACGTACCAACTCGATGGCAAGTTTTACAAACAATGAAACTATCCTGCCAGGCACTGGGTGAAGGACCTTTGGAATATCAATGGCTTAAGAATGGGAAAACAATACAAGGACACCCACATATTAACATTTCATCAGGGTACTTCGAACTAAAAGGGCTTGCTCTTGCTGATGGTGGAAGCTACACGTGTAGAGTATCGAATCAATATGGATCTATCAACCATACATATACGATTAGTGTTTTTGGTAAGTACTGTATAATCATGACGCGACGTCGGTGGGGACTGGGGAAAGCCTTTTAAGATCGTTTTCAGGGAAAATCTTCATATATCCGAGAGATTAAATTTTCGTATACGACGAATTGGCCCTGTTAATAGTTTCTTTTGCTAGAGCGTGCAGAGATTTCATCCAATGTCTCTCAACTTTTAACATATGTATGAAACTGACACGCCTACATGAAGTCCGGGAAATGAGATGAGGTGTATGGATTTAATGGGAGGGTGGATGGATGGATGGATGGATGGACGGATGGACGGACGGACGGACGGACGGATGGATGGATGGATGGATGGGATGGATGAAGGGAAGAAATGGATGAATCATCTTATATTCTCAGTCAAATCAACAATCAAGTTTTTTCTAAGCAACAGTGATAAAGGTCTTGACTAAATAAGGAGTAAAACTATACAACCTATGAATCCTTCCACATAGAAGGGAAACAGTCATACGTGAAGGTTTTACGCCAATCTCACTTGACACCGTACATCAAGATATTAATCAACATAGACAATAGGAAACAGTTAATTGAGTACGCCACGACGTAATTGGTCGAAATGAAATGTGTAGATATGATTCGAGCCATTCCTATAGATCAGATCACGTCTGGTAAATATAATTTAGGAAACTTTTGTCAATGCGTGACAATGACATTTACCCAACATCATGGAGCAGAACTAGGAACAATGTTTCGTTCAGATTAGTTTGAAGCTATTAGCTAATAACTATAAGCTAAGATTACCTTTGTTCGGGATTATAATTGACATTGCTTTGATTCTTGCGTGATTTGATTCAGTTGTTCATACGGACGGAGCAAACATTTTTGACTACAATAATAAAATTTGCCAGCACAGTTTGGGTTTTGAATGATGTGTCTAATCACATCAGTATGCCCTGTGTTCTTATAAGGACTGTTGTCTATCGCCACTTATTATTCTAAGTTAAATATAGAAGCCAAGAAATGCAAGACTAGTTTGTCACGCACTTGACATTTCATGCTCATATCCCTTACGCATTATTCTGGTATGCACAAGGCTTTGCCAGCGCAACACACGGAACGGTATGGAAACAATGTGAAATGCAAATCTTTTTTTCTTTCTTGAAATACCAGTGGATAATGACTGGTACGGATTTTCCAAGTACTTGAGTGCCTTTTCTAACTCAACCAGTAGTTGATGTGATATTTGAAAGCGATATAAAACGACAATAGCTTCATGATGACACCAGTGATTCGCATCGTGAGAGAAACATTGGCCTTGGAACTCATCTTCGTCGTACTTGTTCTTTCATTGGGTAAGAAACGAGTTTTTTTCCGTCCACATTGGCAAACAGAAGGCATTTTATTGTCTTAAACTGTAAATATCCCTATTTGATTTAGGACAATATTAGTAATAATCGATCAATGAAGTGTATGTTTGCTTTAGAGGAAAATCACATCTTTTGGCACGTGTCGTAACAGTTTTCTTTTTGCATGTACTGCTTGCAGATGCCACCAACCTAAGCACCACTATATCGAGTCCAACAAGTAAGATAGGTAAAACTAAAGCTTGACTTTTTAATCGTATTAATCGAGTGATTTTCTCGATTTGCTTATTCAAACTTCGTACAGATGACCACGAATTGAGATAATTTGATACCAAGAGGTTATTGGTATGTAACAAAGCCGAGTGTAATGTTTCATTTGCGAACGAAGTGCATCAAATTACTCCAATAGACGCATTTCCGGTATCAACTGTTATAGCCCAGTAGGACAAAATGGCCGGTAGTTTGGAAATTTTAATTCAATTCGTCTCAGGAGCCGTTGAAAAGTATAGAACCTGTGTCCAATTTATATAGAGGTGTTGCTGCTTTTTACCTGTGATTCAAGGGCTTTCGTCTTCCCCATCTTCTTTCCCACGATAAACATCGCAGGCTACTGGACTCAGTGGGAGAATAGCTACTCACTGTTTAATTTCCCACTTCATTGAATAAATGTTTGGGAGACTTTGGATGAAATTACAAATAATACAAGAACACCCATGCTGCGGGTTTTCTATTAAAACTATAATGTTGCAGGTTCTCGTTTTGTAAGAAACCGGTGGGCGGAAAACTCTTTCTTGTGATACCCAGATTTCCTTACAAAAGAAATGAAAATAGCGGAAATGGAGGTTGTTCCCAAATTTCCTAAATTTCCTATTCATGTCTTCTTTCGCTCACCTCTGTTTGTTTTGTAGACCACAGGGCTCCCATCTTTCGAGACTGGGAAAAAATGAAGCTATCTTTCATAGCATGGCCAGCGTCCCATTCTAAAAAACTGAGCTGCTTAGCAGACGGAGCACAACCTATCAAGTATCACTGGCTGAAGGATGGGAAAGAGATTCAAAAACGAAGACTGGATCCTTATATGAGCACAACGCTGTCATATTTGAAGTTGAAGGAAATGGTGCCGCGAGATAATGGGAAATATACCTGTGTGGTTTCCAACGCTTATGGAACCATAAACCATACATATACTCTACATGTGGTTGGTAAGTGGAATAATAAAATATCTTCAGTTTTACTCTGTTATTGTAATGTTTAGGTTTAGATCCTTGAATGTGAGGTCAAAGCAGCTCGATATGAAGGACAAAACAAAAGAATTCCAATCTCCTGAGAATTGGAAACCTATTGTTCTGTCCCTCAGATTCAGCTGCATTCCAAAATGCTGCAAGGGATCTATAATGCACTTGCTTACATTGTCTTATCCTGTGTCATTGTCTCAGTGTTGTCCTCTTTTTTCCTTTTCTTCTCTTCCACAGCCAAAGCAAGATCAAAACCTATACTCCAGAGGAACCTTCCAAAGAACACAAGTGTGGCTTTAGGAGATAACGCAACCATGACATGTATAGTTGTCGTAAGTGGCACCTTGCCTGATTTTAGGTGGCTCAAATGGAAACAGGTTCCAAAAACCTACCCATTACTCGATATTGAGTCACAAAATAAATCCAAACAATTTATCGACCCGAAGTACTACGAAACGATCAGATCCGGTGAACGCTACGGTGTCAAGATGACAATTGTTAATGTGACGGAAAAGGATTTAGGGCTTTATACGTGTTGGGTCAGAAATCACATCGGCAGTGACTACGTCAGCGCTTTCTTGAGCGAGAAGGTTGAGCCTATAACTGTCAAGTTCCCTGTTGGTGAGTGCCTGAAGTTGATAATTATTGATTTATTAGTAATTTATTTCTTAACTAGCTGAAGAAAAGTAAATCTTTCACTCTTATTAAATACTAATATTCGCCCAGTGCGGATGGGCCATTAAATATTGACAATTTGGCTTTTTCGGAAATGACGTCAATTGTCAGAGGTAATGTTAATAATGAATGAGCAACTGCGCTTTAAATAATGGTACGATTCGCCTAGTGCCTGGCCCTTAGAATTTGTCAATTTGGATTTTCCGGAAGTGACATCAATTGTCAGAGTTAATGTTAATGATGAATGAACAATAGATTTTGTCAATTTGGCTTTTCCGGAAATGACGTCAATTGTCTGGGGTAATGTTAATGATGAATGAGCAACTGTATGAGCAACTTTGCTGTGGTAAATATTCTGATGATCCATAAATAGTATTTAATTATCACAACTGTCTAACTGCAACATCCATTTTGATTCCAGATGGGCCTATCTTGAAAGAAGGCAACATAACTTATCCACAACACCGAATACCCAACGATTTAAAGTCCTCGGAACCGCTGGACGAAGGTGGACGCATAGCTCTAGGAGTTCTGGCGGCAGTTTTAGCACTGGGCCTCATAGGGTGTGGATTCTATATATATCTGCATCGTCGAAAAGTGAGCAGCAAAGGCAACAAAAGAAATTACCCTAACGAGATACGTTTACCCGAAGCGGAGCAGTTTCAACAATCTACAACACTGATATCTGAGCCTAATACACCGACAGACGGGAGCTTCCCTGTCAGATCGTTTATGTATCCTCCTAATACAAGAACTAGAATTAACTCGTCAAGTTCTGCGAATTCTTCGACTCCGTTGATAAGATACCGGAATGGAAGTTATAGATCAAGGTTTTCTTCTGGCGTTTCATCAAGATTAGACTCCAATATTACTGAAGGTATGTGTGGGTTATAATGGAGGGGGAGATGAGAAAGGAGAGGAGAAAGGAGAAGAGAAAGGAGAGGAGAGGAGGGGGAAATCAAATGTATACTGTAATAACACGGCGAGCGTTAAGGGTTTAAAAAGTACGGTTGTGTAGCACAAAACCACCATCTTTGCATGTGCAAAATGGGACACCCTAACGCAACTATGAGTATAGAAAGCATCTATTGCATAATTTAAAAAAAAAACACTTATTAACATATCTACGTTTTCCAGATTTTTATGAACTTCCCCTTGACGAGGATTGGGAAATAGACAGAAGTCAGATTACGATTAAAGAACAGCTGGGTGAAGGGGCGTTTGGTCTAGTGATGAAAGGCGAGGCTGTTGGTATACCAGATCAACCAAGTGTGCAAACTGTGGCAGTAAAAATGCTCAAAGGTTGGATATTAACTAGAACTCACCCGGCTTTATCTTATCTTTTTAGATCCTTTTGGGTGTAATGTTTTCACATTTCAGACCACGTGTCGTTTCTAAGAGTATCATTTCTTTGTTTAACGGTTCACATGATAAGACGCAAGAATATGGGTACTACTCAAGCAAAAAATCTTATTCTCAAGAGAAAGACGTGTGATTTGAAATGAGGGAGGGGGGGGGGGGCATTACTAAACCTAATAACTATATTATCACACTTTTAGTCTAGATCTCAGATTGAAAAATCGGCCTATGGACCCCCTAACTGAAAAAGCTATCATAATTCTTTACAAATTGAAAGATAATTTCCATTGTCATTGTCAGCTGATGCAACAGAAAACGAATTGGCAGATTTGCTATCAGAGATGGACACCATGAAGACAATAGGAAAACATAATAATATTATCAACTTGCTGGGTGCCTGCACTCAATACGGTAAGTCGATTGACACTTTCCGCCATCCGCCATGTTGGAATTTTACCAAGATGCCTTCCATCACCATGTTTACATTAGAAAACTAAACGCATTTAAGAGTCAACTATATTCCAAAAGAAGTTGTTTGCTCGATAAATTACTTCAGTCTTATATTTAACACAAATTGAGTTTAACATACTTAAAAAAAGAATTTTGACATCACGTGATGGCAGCCATGACAGGAGGCAGGAACAATTGAATCTGGTCTAATCTGTTTTACATGAGAAAGAAATCGGATTCCCGGGGGGGGGGGGGGGGGGGGGGGGGGGGGGGGGCGTTATTGTAAGGCAGTTTCAGTAAACACGTTTTCATATGATCACTAGGGCCCTTGTTTGTGGTTGTGGAGTTCGCTCCTCACGGTAACCTGAGACAGTTTTTAAGAGAAAGAAGACCGTCTGAATACCACAGATCGCGATCTGACTCTTCGGGCAGTAGTTCACAGCCATCATTAACTATTAGAGATTTTATATCATTCTGCTTCCAAATCTCAAGAGGAATGGAATTCTTGTCGTCTAAAAAGGTAAGTATCTGGAAACCTTACACTTCCTATTTCTATAATAGATGGTTAAAGAAATGTCTTACCTACTAGCAGAGGTCATTATGTGCGGTTTAGACAATTGAACAGTTGTCATTAGAAAATTAAGTTAAAAGAGACATGAATTTATCTTAATTTGCTTTCAATCGAGTAATTAGACATTTAGTCTCTGAAACACGACTGTTAGGGTTTCAATGTTTCGTTCTGAGCTTTCATTTAATTTAACAATGAAATTTTAAGTTTGTCGAGAGACTTTTCAATCATTTTTTGCTCTCGAGAAGCCACAAGTAAATGAGTAGAACTAAGGGGAAAGCGAATGAAGTAATGAGTTTGAGAAAATGGGATTTTACGGTGAAATGGTTCTTTGACACGCAAATTGAAGAAGTTCACAGTCTTCATAACCGGCGTTTGCATTGCTACGATGCCACCCCAGACAAAAATCGCGACGTGCACTTTGCAATAGACTGCCGTCAATCAAACACGTTGACGCCATTTACACGCGTGTGTGATTCAAAAGGCGCCAAAACTTCGGTCGATGTTTTACAAGTATTACGAGCCACACTCACCGGGCCTATCCGGGCCGATCCAAACGCGTGTAAATGACGTCAACTTGTTTGATTGACGGCAGTCTATTGCAAAGTGCACGTCGCGATTTTCATCTGGGGTGGCCGCGTAGCAATGCAAACGCCGGTAATAGTTTTAGCAAGAAAGCGTTTATTCAGGCTTTCATTTTGTTGTTGTTGTTGTCATTTTGACGAGAGTGGAAGTTGGAGGCTTCCAAAGGGATAATTTCGACGATTTGATCTTATGGCATAAACGTTTCAAATGAATTGGCTTTCACTGTACATTAGCAGCTCTATCACTGTCTTCCGAAACTTATCAACTAATTTTTACATCGCCTTGAGATTCTTATAGACTCAGTTAAACTGATCCTCCAGGTATCCCAGTGTACACTATCCCAGCATCTTGTTAAAGTAATCCTTCCATTACAAAGCAGAATGCATTCTGGTCTAGCGTGAGTAACAATACCTTTATTAGCAGTAACAGCTACCTACCCAAGCTAGACCAGAATGCACCACGTTTTAGAGATTTCAAACTTACAACCATGTGACTTGTCTCCTACAGTGCATCCACAGAGATCTGGCAGCAAGAAACATCTTGGTCGGGGAGGATTACGTCATGAAAATTGCTGACTTCGGACTGGCAAGAAATGTTAGAGACATGGATTACTACAGGAAAGCCACTGATGTAAGTCATTACGGACAACGAATGATAGGGGTTGGGAGGGAAGGGAGAAGAACGGACACCACATTTTACTTATCCATTCACTTTTAGAGTGAAGGCATTTAACCTGTGAAATAAAACATACTAGTCATGGTGTAATAGTCAAAAAGACACAAGAAAACAGATGGAATTAGGGTCTACTAATGTGTATTAGTCTAACATCTATTGCATGTGTTAAGTGACTTCACTCTAAAATATTCACTATTCGTGACACTGTTCTATATTGTTCGTAGGGACGTTTACCAATCAAATGGCTTGCGATAGAAGCTTTATTTGATAGGGTTTATACCACACAAAGCGATGTCTGGGCCTTTGGCATTCTACTCTGGGAGATTTTTACTCTTGGTAAGTTTTAGTAAATTATCCGACTCAAACACATATTCATTAATGTCATTTATAATATGATTTATGATAATTTGATAGCGCCCTTTCTATATGATAAATGGCGCGTACTATCTTGGGAGGTGATTGATATGAGGTGGATGTCACTGCTTGGGTTTCTTTATGCCCAGTGGCTCTTTTACGTCCCTCCGATATTGGTTAGTAACTGATGAGTGTGGAGAGACGGGACCACCATTTAAAGCCGTCATTCGAGCCACTTGAAAGTCTGACCATTTGCAGAAGTAAATTATAAAGACAGCACTTTCTCTTCAGTCATTTTAAGAATTTGATAGTTGGTCCGCCTGGGCTTAAGTCCGCGACCTCCGCCCTCCCGCCTGAAAGTCCGATGTTCAACAAACTGAGCCAATCGGTTGTTTTGTTTTGCTCGCCACTGTGATATGTTTTAGGGGATTCAGTTTAGCCATCGTAAATGGTAATCCAGCAGGCTCTTTTGATGATTTGCTGTATTTCACATTTGTTTTACTTAAAAGTATGCTCTAGATTACTTAATCATTTCAGTAACAAGCGTCAGCTTTGATTCACTACAGCAAGCGTTAACTGCTCCTTCAAACAAAAACATCAAATTGAAAAGTCAAAATTTTAAGAAATTCCAGATTGCAACCATTGATTAAGGCTAATATGAAGCCTTCGTATTTTAAATTCATTTAACTATATGGCATAAATTATCTAGGAGAAGTCTGAACAGAAACAGTTAATAAGGTTTAACGTATGGGGTAATTAATCGACAAAGGTTAAAACAAAGACATCTTGCAARCAAAGACGCTTGTAGGCGACATCGATGTATGCCTGTATGACACTTAAATATCTCCTAAAACGACATAGAGCGGTTTTCGCATGACTGTGAAAAGTTCAGTCGGTTAAGCGTGCCATGCAGTGATCGTGATGTTTTCTAGAATTTCAATATTGGCAGATTTTTTTCTCGCGTAATGCATGTGCTTGGTCTAGCAGTGCCGTGACTGTGTCGTGACCATGTCTGGACCGTGTTTGTGCCGCGGTTGGAGGGAGAGAAAATTCTCGTGCAATGTGATCGGTCTGGATTGGCCGTGACTGTGGCGTGACCATGTCCGGACCGTGTTTGTGCTGTGATTGGAGGGAGAGTAAATTCTCGTGCAATGTGATTGGTCTGGAGTATGCCTTGCCGTGTTCGTGCTGTGAGCTATTAGGGACTTTAAGATTTGCAAAATCTGCGACGGCGACGTCTACCGGAAGTGTAAACAACTTCACTTTGGGGTTTCGCACCTTCAAAGTCCGTCTTCCCTGTGAATGAGTTGACTTTACTGACAATGTTTTGAATAAAATCTCCAATGAACAGAACCCCAAAAAGAGAAATTATTTACATTTCCGGTTTACGTCGCCTGTCGTAGAGTTTGCAAATCTTAAAGTCCCTATTCACAGTCATACGAAAACTGCTCTAAGTAATACACCGCTAAATAAGACAGCTAAAGACTACAGGCGACTTGTAATAGGATTAATCCACTCAGGACTATACAATTTCTCTGAAAGGAAGAAGATTGAGATAAAGGGATGGATTGTAGAGAATGCATGGCGACAAGTCAACGTCTTTAAAGACCCCCAGCCTGAGATAACACTTAGTGAAATTTTTGGTGACTGGATGGATTACGGACCAAAATATCTAATTGCAACAGAAAGTACTCTATGTCTCTCTTTGTTCTTCGTGTTCTTGAGTGTGTGGGTGTTGGTACTAAGCAGATGGTCTCGCAGTGTTAGATGGAGGTCAAGATTACTCACTTCTATATGACGGGAACCTGTCAAATTTAAGACTTTTGCAGACGTGAATCACTCTTTAGGGTTGTGAATTAAAGAGGGTTTTCAAGAGATCCATTGAGTTTTAGACGTAATGTTGTCGCGTTTCAAAACACTTTGAAATAGAATTATCAGTTTGAGTTTTGCACATGTTTAATCTCTTGAATCTATTTTTAAAAGTAAATAATACTTAAGAGAAATACACTTGTTACATATTGAAGAACTTGTGGAATTTGTGAGATTCCCTTAGTTTAGACATTGTTGTCAAAAAGTAAAAATCAAAAACTCTGGAAAACAATTATAGTTTGGCTTGCGTAACTAAATAGAATACTCGAGAAAATGGCACGCGTCATGAAATGAAAATCTTGTCAAAAGATCCCGAGTTTAGACATCATGTCTAATCATTTGAGTTATGCTCAGATTCCTTTTTTTTTCTTCCTTGGGTAGCTATAAAAAAGAAATACGACTCAAGGGAATGACATGTGGAATGAAATAACGTAACCATTAAAATGAAATAATACTCAATATAGCTATCCTAGTTTTTATGTGATCTAATCAATACTTTTTTTGTCATTTCTTGGTTCAGGTGGTTCTCCGTATCCTGGAATCCCTGTTGAGAAACTATTCGACCTTCTTAAATCAGGATATCGAATGCCAATGCCACAAAACTGTCCAGTGGAAATGTAAGTTCAAGCACCCTATACAATACAAGGCCGGCGCTCGCGATTTCTTGAGACACAGTTATGCAAGGACGGATTTTCAATCGAACGGTTAGATATGGGATAGGGTGGATTGGGTGGCTAGGCACCCCAGTGCCTCGACAGTGTCTGGACTAGAGGAGAGTGTACTACGCTACCCCACCCTTCATTTCCCTTATTTTCAAGGCAATCAGATTACAGTACTTGAGGAGTATATCATTTGTTTCTTGTTTTAGGTATGAGATAATGCTCAGTTCTTGGCATGAGAATGCGAAGGAGAGACCTTCCTTTACAGAGCTGAAACTAGAGTTTGATAGAATGTTATCATCAATGTCGAACAAGGTAAATCCTCATATAAGAACTTTCAACTAATATTATCCTTACCAATTATCAGCAGCAGTAGCAGTAGCAGTAGCAGTAGCAGTAGCAGTGGCAGTGGCAGCGGCAGTAGCAACGGCAGTGGCAGCAGCAGTAGCAACGGCAGTGGCAGCAGCAGTAGTCAAAGTCACGGGGACCATTTTAGTGGTTTATAACGATTTATAAGGCTAATGGGAAGCGAAAATGGCCACAATAACGTAACAAATAATCTCGTTCAATTAGTCTTCGTTTTTAAACGCGTTTTTTTTTTCTTTTTTTCATTCTTTTAGGATTATCTTGAGATACTGGCCAAATCCATCGATGACATCGCAAATGAAATGGAGACAACAATAACGGACGATTCTAGTTTCGGCAGCAACCAAGAAACTGAGAGTGAAACCTTTGCAGAGTCAGTGTGCTAACAGTCTTTGATTATCAGAATCATTACCATGGTTATAGGTGGCGTCACCATGGTGATCATAACGTCCTTGGTAACATCATGATGGTAACCACAACATTACCTTGGTAACCTGGACATCACTTTCGGCAGCAACCAAGAAACTGAGAATGAAACCTTTGCAGAGTCAGTGTGCTAACAGTCTTTGATTATCAAAATCATTACCATGGTTATAGGTGGCGTCACCATGGTGATCATAACGTCCTTGGTAACATTATGATAGTAACCACAACATTACCTTGGTAACCTGGATATCACCTTGGCAACTTGTAATTCTTCGTTACAACATCAATTCAACATCACTATGGTAATCCAACATCACTATGATAATCAAGCAATGCCATGGTAATACATCACTATGGCAACCGAAGTGATCTCTAATGATGTTCGTAAATCGATTCCCCCGTTTTTGGTGGCACAAACAGTCGTTGTCATCCATTATATGGTAATACCGAAAAGGAAAAAGAAACAAAGTGAGAGAAAGAAAATGCCACACTTGTCTGTGCACTGACAAAGCTTTTTGTCAAGCAAACGGAACATTCAAGGGATAAATCGTCAGAAATTCCTTGGTTGAGAAGCAGTACAAGAATTTGCAAGACAAGGCATTTTACAAGAATCATTTCCCAACGTTAAAAAAGAAGAAAAACTCTTACAAAAACTACGAATTGTACAAAAATATACACATATATACCAACTGAGTGCGAATAGTTTCCTCAGACTTATAGAGCTGTTAAGTTGTGACGTATTTCCGGGTCCAACTTTTTACAAAAAACTAAGATTAAACAACAAAATTTTCTCAATGATTTAACCTCCACTTGAAGCAATTAGAATTATTGATGGTTTTCACGGCGGCCATGTTGGAGGAACTTAACAAAAGAATTGTCAATGAACTCTTTTGTTATATCCTCCAACATGGCCGCCGTGTCTTTTGTTATTTAATTCTCTTGGGAATGATTGAAAACCATCAATTTGGACGTCAAATCCTGTCATGAAGGAAAAAAGTAAGAACAATCTTGATAGAGCTACTTTTCGTTTTGGACCCGGAAGTCGTCTTCCTATAGCTTTATATGTGCATATTGCATTACGCATGAAGAAAGGAATGATCGCATTCTAGAAAATGAAACCCCGAATGAAGATTGCAGATAATTTTTAAGGGGGTAGGGGAAGGGAGGGTAAAATCGAAACAAACATTTCATCAAAAATCAAATATACTTGCAGAATGATACTGATTTACAGCATAGATCAAACTTGATTTTTAAAACATTAATGAGAAAACATCTCAGCTTTGACACCTGTGTTGAATCGATAGTATTAAGATCCAGCTGTCTGCAAAAATTCACAGAGATCCCTAAGGCATTTATGTTACTTTAATGTATTTGTCTGCCGGTAACTATCTAAAATTGCGCATTAAATGAAAGTCAGTACTATGATTTGGTGCTGGTCGCAAAAGGATTCACATCGGATTCCACATCGGATTTGCATCGGATTTGCATCGGATTCGCATTGCTTTATAATGGATTCCCTGGTTGCTGAAGTTGCTATCCCAGAAAGGAACCTGTCTCATAATGGCAGGCTCTTCATATGTTTATTGCACTGAATTTACAACAATGCCTTTAAAAATGGAGTATGCCTTAAGACTTAAAATCCTTTCGCAAAGTTGTTGTTCATTTAACAAAAAAGAACCTAGGACAGTGTCTTCCAAAGGTTTTTTTTAGCTCAGGGCGTTGTCTCTAGAACTTACTACTCTAGGCCAAATAACCCTAACATGATATGGGCCCCTTGCATTGATTTCCAAGAGGAATTGTTCTGGGGACAAAACAATAGGCCGTCTTTTCTTGTGCAAAAAAAAAATCCATTGGTTTGTCCCTCAGAACAATTCCTCTCGGGACTCAAGGGGTCTATATTTGTAAAAGAATATTTTAGGTTCCACTGTATGTTGTTTAGAAATAGCGATCGCAGACCTTTAAAATTATGAATGTAAATTTACAAAGAATAACTGTTGTATATAATCTATGGAAAAAATCTCTACAGAAAAAATGATAGGAAACACTGCCTAAAATCATTGCAATGTTACCACGTATTTTAGTGAGGAAATGGTAGCCTTCCTTGGAACGGAAAATACATGAAGTTATAGCGTTTTTTTGTGAAGTAGGAGTTCGGCGACTTTACAAAATAGACCATAATGGACCTGTCCTTCATGGTCTCTCGCTTTTCAAAATGGCCGCTACCGTGAGAGGGACCGACCGACTGTCCCGATTCCACTGTCGTAACTCTAATTTTATAGGTGCTTTCTCGATCTCGACTAATGTGCAAACGAAGAAAACAAAATGAAAAATAAAGAATTGAACTAAATATTCTGTTTTAAGATTTTCCTTTTTCCGAAATTTACTAAAGGCGAATCCTAACAGTAGCGTCTGGTGACAATCCCAGGGTTCACGGAGCGAGCACGCGCGCGCGTCTTCACGGGCGGAAAGTTCTCGCCAATTCCACAGGGACAACATGAGCCAAACTTAACCTACAAAGATCAGTTCACCGTGTCCAGTTTGTGTGACAAAGCCACTGCTCTTGTCTGGAATTTTGGTAAAACTCTATTTTTCACTATACACTCTCTCCCCTCCCCTACCTTTTTTGAAGAAGAAAGAGTCGATCTTTAGGATAAAGATATATGAAAACCATTATCTGTAACATCTCTAGATGGGCTCTAACGATTGAAAGTGAAAGACGAAACAAGAATCTTAAGTGAACCTTAAGAACCACGTTTTTGAGAGTTGAGGATAATGGTTTAGAAAGACCCCACGTATGGTATATCTATAAGGAGAATCTAGAACACTTTTGGCTCTCACGGTACCCGACGTCGCGTTAACATCAAAGTTTACGCATCTATCATGACGCGTATTCACGCTTATCAACGGTAGAAACCGAACCCACCCACGCTATGCCGGCGTATGTAAGGGGTGCCATCAAGAACGTCTGGATCCAATGTTCATCGATATTTACCGTTTGCGCACGTATGACAACGCTTGTTCCAGTCTACTTTTGAAACTCATCAAAGACTCGCACCAAAACTTTAGGGTTTTACTGGCGCAGGTGCGAAATCATACAGTTTGATGTCGCGACGCTAAAGTTGGCTTTGGAGGACGTCAATGACTGAACATAATAAAATAATTCTGGTTGCTTTTTTTTTCTTCTTTTTTTCTTGCAAATAAAAAAATATTAAGCTACAGTCCACTGTATTATCTTGAAAGTGTCAAAAAAGACTTCCAGAAAGTTTTGATTAACAACAGTTTCATTGAAAGAGCAACTAGAAACTACAGGTGGTTAACAGAGATAATTGAAGTCGTTTTTCCTCAATACTTGGCGATTCTCAATATAAAAATACTTTAAAATACCATGCTAAGAACTATTACTTTCTTAAAAGATAAAAAAGCTTAAAAGCAGTCAGGGGTTAAGCTATAAGCTTAAATAACCGTCACCTCCCAGCAAGGAGATCCAGTGCGTGATCATTTCCTAAGCCCTTTTTGATAACTAACCCGCCTCCATTATACGTGTTCATAGAAAAAATATATATTTATAGTAGAACTTATAAAAATAGTGATAAAGAATAGCAATGAAATCTAGTAATCAGTAATTGTGATCTTATTAGCTAGTGATGACGATTTACCTAATAGATCATGACTATCAATTTCCGCTGGTCATTAATTGAGAAGTTTTAAGTAGGACAAAAGAATTCACAAAGCTAGAAACATTTTAGTTGAGTGTCGAGTCTGGATAAGAAGTTGAGCAATTTCTCAAGTAAAAGCTCTACGTTTTATTCTCCTTTTCAATTGACTCAGTCAAACGAATAAAAAATGCGATTATATCCACCTATTCCCTGGACGATAGGTGAAGCAATTCTCAAATGAAAATCCCTACGCGTGTGACTGACTGAATTATATAACACAATATTCTAACTCCTTACAATTCTTGAGACAATTGAATCGAGCATGCGATTATATCTATTATTCCACCAACGCTCTAAAGATGCGCATCAAGGCCGGAAATCCTTAGCCGGCAATCATTGAAATAATGAACGTATTTGAAGCAATATTCCTAAGTACTCATCCTATGTATAAAGACCGCCATTCATTCGGAAAACAAAATAGACAAAACAAAATCTAAAAAAAATCTATTACTAAAAAAAAGGGTCATAACAAATTAAAATGTAGTTTTAAGTCATTCCACCAACACCCTGGAGATGAACGAGAGAACAGTCGGGAAAACCTATCGACATCATTAGTAAAGAAAAAACAACAACTCTTCATTGCCCCATCAATCCAGATTCAAATATTAATAATTGACACCATCCCCTTAAATTATGAGCACTAAAGTAACGTTTATTGAAATAGTGCAGGTTTGTTTACTGAATTGAGATTGAAGTCCTCAGAGTCCACAAGAGAATTCAAAGGGTTCATTTGCGCTTTCTGAGTAGATCAATAATCATTATGAAGCGTACTCAATGCCCTAAGGGTCGTTGAAGAGTGAGCTTGTAGGAAGCATATTACTTTGAAGAGAAAACTTCTTGATTTGTGATTTTTATAAAGATTTTCAAATAACACCCAATTTCATTGTTTTCCTAGAGTTCTATATATAATAAATAATAAATATAATAAATACAGAAGCAGAGAGGGGAAGAGTATAGGTTAGTGACATATATTAAAGCGTCCGCAACTTATATTCAGTTGATAAATATAGGATTTTGAATTAAATGTATTGTCAATGAACACGTCAGGTGCGCTTGAAAAAGGAGTCAAGTGATGCATGCGCCGTGGAGAAAATCCTAGAGAGAATGACTCATTTTAATATATTAATTGAAATAAAACCTTTGTTTAATTGTATCATCACTCTATAATCCCATATAACCAACTATCATATTATTTTCAAATTCTCTTTCCTGTCCAAATTAAAGATTAATTTGGATCGTTCCCATTTGCAACAACAACAACAACAACAATAGTTTATTTGCACTCAAGGAGGAAAGAATTACATGAAACATAAATTTAAAATTGCAAAAACACGAGCACAGCTATTTGAAATAGCTGAAAAGCTAATCAAGTTAGTCATTCTTTTGAGAGAAAACTATACTATGACTTATGAAATCAGTCTAGTATAGTTTGGGATGATATAATTAATCTGCAATAGGACGAGGACTACATGTCTGTCCAATTTGGAAATAATTGAATTCAAAAAATTCCTCTGACTGCCAAATTGGCTTCGGCCTATAGACCTCTTCCCATTTTGTCAGTCCTCGGAATTTTTTTCCTCCAATTATTTCCAAATTGGACAGCAGGTAGCCCTATTACCTATACTAAGAGGGCAATTCGATACTTAGGGAATTCCCAAGTTCAACGTCACGATTGAAAACTTCATAGTTTCTGAGGAGGAACTAGAATGAAACCAGTAAACTGAAAGTACAAGAAATATGCAACGACCCCGCTACTTACCTATGCAAGCTTGAAAATGATGGAAGCGACGACCCTACAATAGCAGTGAAATACGTTATCCTGTTTCTTCGGAGCTGGATCCTAAACTGAAACAAATAAACTCACATTTAATCTTCATCATGAAGTTTTTGTGCAAACTGCATCGCGAAGAAAATCGTAATTTCAGCTTTAAATTTAGCCTTTTATTTTTTTACGAATGGAAGCAGAAAAAGTTATTATTCTTTATCTAGGGCTTTGATTATCATAATTTGTGAAAACCTGATGAGATACACCGTGGATAAATTAAGTATTATTATTGTATTATTATTATTAAAAATAAAATGCTTGAGGGGATTTTTTAAACGAAAAGCGTGGAGTTAAGTGTGGAGTCTCCTATAACTTTGATCAGGAGCCGAGAGCCGCCAATATAAACCGTATTGTCGACTGAGCCATAAGCGTGTGTGCAGGGGGAGGGGGTGGGGGATGGGGGAGATAAGACAGATTAATATCCGTAGCACCTGAAATGAGTGAATCTATTTAAACAATTAATGGTTTTTTATAGCCTTCTGTCCGCACAGCATGACAAGCTGATGTCGTGGACCAAATGTTCGAATTTTGGCGAAATTATTGTAATTAACCGACTAAAACTGAGAGTCAGCTACTGTTATAATAGCACTAACACTCCGCCAATGTTTTTTTAAAGATGTTGATGTTTTAAAAGGCAGAACAAAGGAGGCCCCTGCATAGTCGAGGTTCAATTAAGATCATTACTACTCATTTAAACCAGTTGTTTTTGATTCGTAGATTTGTTAACTGCCCCCAAGGTCAAAGACAAAGTATCAGATGGTCTATTAATTGTAGGATGGCAAAGAGCTAGAACTAGAAGAAGACTATGAGGAACGAACAACACTAGATAGCAACAAGATATCAGTGGGGATGTATAGAAGAAAATTAAGAGAGAATTCTTTTCGTATTCAAGCAGTGCGAGCACCAAAAACTATTTTCTTAAAGAAAGGCTTTTGTACAAGGCTAAAATCTTGTTGTTCAGAAAGATTAACTTATATGGAAGTGGAGACGACCGATGAAAGTGGAATCAAAGTTTTGACCCAAAGCAAACATTTTATTCGAAGATGAGGTTTAGGCCTTCATTTGCATATTTCCCATATATTTTCTATAAAGAAGCCTGACAAAGCAATATTCTAACACAAATGCAACAAAAACATCTTTGTACAATTGAAAATACCGCTGCAAACAGGCATTTTATCATACATCAGTTTCTAACTGTTTAAAAAAGGTTTTGAGTGTTAACCCAAAACGAACATTGGAATCAAAACTCATACGAAAGTCTAGTTTTTAGCGCTTTTTTCCATTATTGCTCATTATTGAAAAGCATTTCCTCTTAAACAGCTCGTAAAAACAAAACAAATGTAGAAAAGAAAAAAAAACCAGTAAAATAGTATCTCTTAAAGGAATAAAAATAATCATCACATTTGCCAACGTTCTCAATTTTCGCGGCCAAGACGGCCAAAAGATTATTATCCTAGAAAAAAAGATCCTTCATCTCAAGTACCCCACCAAAAATTGTGAACGATGAAAAAAATATTTATATATAGTAAGTGATTTTAACTAACATTTTACGGAAAGAGCCGTAAGAGAATATAATCTGAAATACTAAAACAAATTAAAAGTTTTTTCCAGCTAAGTAGCTTATCTTTACGAAAATTAAAACTAGTTGAAGGTGTAGTTCCGACAGCTTTACCCGGACTGTCTACTTTTGACTCTTAATGACAGTATTGAAGAATGACTTAAAACTTTAGTGCACTTTATTTTTTCCTAAGTACTGTGTAAAATATCAGACACCCAGGCTCGGGGAATATTCATTTTGTGACTGGTAATCGAAACGAAGACCCTTACTTTAAGTTCAGTTACTTAAGCTCCAGGGCCCGGTTGTACGAAGCCTTGACAGCGCTATCCGGCGGATAAATCAGATCATTATCCAGTGGATAAATCTATTGGATAACAACATCATTTTATCCACTGGATAAGGATTTATCCGTTGGATAGCGCTATCCAGGCTTCGTACAACAAGACCCTGGAGTCTAGAACTAACTATATAAGTTAGTTTGATGATGAATTGAAATAATTTGGAATTAAAGGGATTAAAGAAGGAAGGAAGGAAGGAAGGAAGGAAGGAAGGAAGGAAGGAAGAAAGCAACTTTTCAAAAATATCAACGGTAACAACATAGGTACTAATTATAAAAAATAGATGAAAAACTACCAACCCACAGGCAAACATAACGCAAACTACCTTACACGTTTGAATTTGCAAATTTGCAAGATGAGAAAAATCAGTTGATAGGAATATAATTTTATAGAGAAAAAAAACAGATGAAGCAAAGACATTTCCTTTCAGTGTGGACAAAAAACAAAAGTTGGAAATCAAAATAAACTCACGTAACTAAAAGGGTTTGAGTTTATGAATAAATATGATTCATGCGAATCAAGTGCAAGGTCTGAGTTTTTCAGCCGTCGATGTTAATGATGCCCGTAGTTTTTTTATTCGACATCGTCCGATATTGACTGTGTAAAACGTTAACTAGTTGACATGAAATTTTTAAAAAAACGCTCATTAATTCAAAAGAAAACGATAGTTCTGTTATGCAAGTGAATAATTAGATATTATGGATACAGAAAATAACTGTCTCCAAGTAGGACATGTGTTGGGGAGTTTAAATGGAAATTTCGACAGAGAATTCCAAATAGAAGAAAAAATGGAAAAAAAGAAAAGCAGACATACGTTGAACGCATGAAATTTAGAAAAAATAAATATTACAAACTTAGTTTTAACAGGGTTTGTTTTGTTTTGTTTTTTTTTTTTTCTCGTTTTAATGATAACTATATATGCTATATTGGAATGTTTCCTAGTAAAAGCGGCGAGGAAGAATTGAAGTTGAAAACCGGGGAAAAGGACGCCGGAAAATTATTGGATTATAAACTAACATTACTTAATAAAATCCCACGCTAGACTTTAATTTGCAAAATATTATCGACAAAGGAAATAGTTTAAAAATACATTTTACTAGGACTTGGCAAAGATGAAAAGCAGTAATAAATAACAAGAAGTGAGTATACTCAGGCGATAATTCGCCAAGAATAATTTGGTTAGTCGTAAAAAATCGAAAAGTTGAAGGAACTCTCTCGAAAATATAATGCTGAAGAAATGTAACAACATTGAATCAAAGGCAAATAAAAGCAAAAGGGAGACACTGTCAAAACCTTATTCCCAAATCTTAGGTCCCGTCGTAAACACAGCGAGGGGGGATCAAGATTTCGTAGCAATAGCAAGAGTAACACAAGCAAATATAGAATAAAGACAAACATAAGATCATGTAGGTATATTTGTTTGAAGCAACTGAAGAATTGAAAGAAATAAAACCTGGTGTATACCTAGCCAGCAGCTGTACAAATACATGAAAGACTAAAATTGTTAGTAGTCTTGAGTAAATAGACGGCAAATAACTCCAATTACTGACAAACAGTCAGCAATAATGGATTGATTGGCTCTTGAAATTGTCTCACTGGATAGAAAGTTTCATTTCGAGCGTTGGAAAAAGAAAGTTTTTTATGTACTTAGGTACTGAATTCGAAAGAACTTGATATCTGGAAAAAACTTAAAAGCAGATATATTACTGAATACATTTAAAAGTAGACTCACGAGTTTTCTTTTGAAAGACCGACTATTTTCAGCATAACATGGCTTATTTTCAACGTTTTAAATTTTTTTCTCGGTTACTCGTAAAAGCTTCGTAAACGCATTGACATTCTTATATGCGTACGAAGATTTAGGAAATATTCCCGATTTTTAGGGTTGTCTTCTCCTACCCAGGGTTCCAGAAACTTTAGGAGGTCGAGGGGCCTCTGGAACGCAGGGTAGTCTTTCCCCGAATCCTTCACATGATAATAGATTTAGATGATTTGATGCTTTTATCAATACAAAAAAGATAACATTCCCAGGCTATTTTAGGGTTGTCTTTTACCGAATCCTTCACAAGTTTTTCATCAAAAGACTTTTAGACAAGGGTTTTTAAGAATATCGTTTTAAGAATTCTGTGAAAGACAGCCCTAAAATAGCCGGGGAATATTATTTTCCTTCATAAGACTTTTAGACTTTTAGTGATTTTAAGAGTATTCTATTTCATTTGGGGTTGACTGGGGAAAAACTTGTGATTGATAAACGATTCAAAAATGTCAGTCGTTCATAAGTGGAGTTTGTCGACAACCGACCAAAGGCCATTAAAATTAAAGTTGCTTCACACTGATCATCAATAGATCAAAATGAATTAAAATTGCCCTCTTCAAAGCATGCTTCACTTATCTATTAATTCCTTTCATATTATATTAATCTAGCTACGGTTTAAATCAAGCGACGAGAAAAAAATCATGGATTATTTCAGTGCTTGAGGTCTAAATCCCACAGAATCAGTTGTCATGGAAACACCAATAATCGAGAGAGGATTGGTGATGGCATAAGTGAACTCAAGGGCCTCTTTCTAAAACACACGTGCTTTGAATAGACAATAGGTTTAGGTAAATAAGATTAATATATTCATATGTTATTCGGTTGTATAATAACGTCTGCGTTGGAAACTATCGTCCAGTTTATATCTAAATGCCCTTTAGGAAGTGGACCTTATTTTATTATAACCAACGTTTCTTGTTCTGCCGATTTGTCGTACTGTGATCTTAGAACTGAGCGATATAGTATATTTAGCACTTCATGAAAAATTTCTGAAGGCAATTTGAGATTAAACTTCCCGGCTATCGTCGGAGGATTTGATGCCGGCTCTTTTTCAGTCCTGACGTATGATTTCACTGCGCAGAAACGTTTTGCGTGGTACGTGACTGGTCTGAAAACAAATGTAAGTCGGTTATTTTTCTACAGAACTGAAGCGAATCGCTAAACTCAGTAATCGCATCCTTTCTGGTCAGCTGGTTCTGATAGATAGGACTCCTGTGGTTTAATTAGCAGTGACTTGTCCGATACCAATATTTGAAATTACAAGGGCTAACTCGTTCTGTGCACGGAAGGAACAGGACGCATAGATCATGGGCACTCCGACTAAAAGATCACTGTTGATGATAAACTGTTTATTCGCACTGGAGCTATTGATGCTCAACAGCATTGGGACATGCACTGGTGAGTAAAATATGAACATGGAATACTTTTGCCTGGAATTGTGTACCAATGTCATTTGATAACTTAATGCACTTTCGACAACATCTTTTGGATACATGCGTTCAGGTTTACTATCTTAAACCAGTCAACTGATAAACAAGTCGGAACAGGGTTGCAGTACTTCACTATTCGCACGGAATGTTTTACATTTGATAATTTATTAAAAATACTTATTTTCAAAAAAATGTTTACAAATTTTCGTAGTATCAAAGGACCACCTTTGCCACTCCTCTACTTTTTTTCCCTGTTCGTTCTTGGGCTGCAAATTTAGTCTTTGCCTAGTTTCGATTCATACTTTATTTGCCCTCCACAATGCTCCAGTGCTTCTAACAATATTCAGACTTCACGGACATGACTTTTCTCTGCGTTATTCACCAAAACACACAAAAATGTCATTAAATAAAAACAAATTCTAGAATTAAAATTGCAGCGTTTAGTGATTTTTTTTGTCGTGCAAAGTCGTTTGAAATTTTAAACCAATTCCTACGATATACTTTTTTTCCAGTTTGTAATCCTGAGGCTATTTTTGTTGAGTTCGGTAGATTATTTGCTGTTAGTATTGATTTTGTCATGTATAATTCTACCGATAAAGAATCTCTACTAGTGCTGATTAAAGAGTTTCAGAGCTTGGGGGTGAATTGTATGGGAAATCATTACTCTACAATACAACTTATACTGAAGAAAAGCTGTTTACTAAATTTTAAGTACGGGTTTTGAGTTATCCTTTAGCGATATCAGCCCAGTCAAACGTGTCTTGAATCGAAGAAGATCAGTGGCATTAGCATAAAGCATTTTAACTAGTGTATTGTGTAATGGGTGCTAAGATATCTGTGCACGAAACCTAAACGTTCTACTTTCTTCTATTATATCAACAGCTGGCGATAGTAAACTTAAAGTTTGCGTCGACGACTTCAAGACTTGCATAAATCAGCCACAATTTAAAAAATGTAAGTATTTTTTATTCCTACATGATTTTGACGACTGTCACGTGTATTAGGTTGAGTATATTACCGACAAAGCGGCCACCATTCAAAGCTATTTCAAAGCTGTCATGATGAAACAATTCAGATATATGATCTAATTTGCCGGCATTGTTTCTCATTTGGCAAAGGTGGTTCTTTTTCCGTATTCGATGTCTAATTCAGAAGATGAATAAGTTTGGTTAAGACATAGTGTTTTGTAAAGATCTATGGTTTTTGCTGATGAACAGCAGCTGGTCATGTCATCTAATACACGGCTGTCAACGCCGGTACCCTTCTTGCAGACCATTTCATATCTGATAAAACTACCACAGTACATGAGGCCTTTCCCCGTAATATATATTTTTTCTGTCAAAAGAGCGGAATTAGGATAGATGTTTGGTTTATCACATAAGAAAGACTTGAAAAAATTCTCTTACTCATAGTATTTTCGTGTTATGAAAGACTAAAAAAAATATTTTATATTTTCGAATGGGACTCTGTATTAATAAAGATAGATCTAAATTAAAGAAAAACAAAGCTTTACTTGCCCCAAAAGATAATATATAACGTAAATAATAATCTTTACAACGGAACCTTTTTCCTGGTTTGGAGAAAATAATTATTAAAAGGAAATTTCTCATCGAGGGCTATCGTCTTTTTCCAGTGAGAAATAAAAAAGAGAAATATTTAAGGTGGAAAGATTTTTCTAGAAATGAAATACGGAAATTCGAAAAAATAACATTGGGAAAAAGACGACAAAATGGGTTTGCCCGACGTCTAAGCACTTTAAAGGGTGGCTCTGAAAGCAGTAAAAAGTATTTTGAGAGAGCTGAGAATTTTGCATTTATTTTTTTCCTTCAAAATTACGGGGGTTTTCAAAATGTCAGTTTTCAAACTGGCGAATTGGATAGATCAAAACTGTTTACTGATTTCCCCCTCCCCCTCCCTCTAGATCAAAACCGTTTACTGATTTTCCCCCTCCCCCTCCCCCTCCCCTTTTCATTTAGATTTGTTAAGGTACTCGTTCGTTTCAGTTCAAAACAAATTCTTATTGCATGCACTACTTGTCATGACTTTTTTATACTCCAAGCTTTTTATCTTTTACTTCTTAGAGTAAATATCCTTTAAATGAAATGAAAAATTTTCTGTGAAAATGGTTGTCTTTTTTGGCCTCTCGCCTTTTGTCCCTGTATCGATTTAACAAAGAGAAGTCCTCTGTCTTTCTTGTGAAAACAATTACCATAACGTGGTCATATATGCATTTAACCAAACAATGTTTTTCGTATAGAAAAATTACTAATATTTGTCTGTGAATAAATCGTTTCTTTCGTTCAATTTTGATATTTTGATTTCTTATCGTTTCATTTTATCTTCTAGTCTTCACCCTTTTCGTATAAAATATTGAATTAAGATCTTGTTACTTAACCAATATTAAATAACGAGTTCTTATGTGAGAGAAATACAAAGGAGCACCTAAGGCTAACGCCGCTTACAAAAAAGACGGAAGCCATGATTATCCTAAAATTCTCTTGACATGATACTGAAATATGTCTTCATTGGAGCCGATGAACTTCGTTTCTCGTTACGAGATGAAACAAAATCTTGCTAAAGCAACGCAATAATACTGGACAAGACTATTTTTTCTTGTTCAATTCACTTAAAATAGAAAATGAAAAATGGAAAACACTCGTCACGTTCTGGTGTGTGGTGCCCACTGAAGGTTGACTTAGCACTAAATGGCCATGATATACCGTTAAGTGTCTATAAATAACCACGAGAAGGGGAGAAGAATCGTACACGCTTCATATCTATCTAATACACCGATAGTACTCCAATCCTATTGCGATAACCGGAAGAAAAGCTTGTTTTTTTTCAAGGCCACTTCAAAGACATCCATCATGGAGTGAAATCTTACTTTACAGTGAGGACACTGTGAACACTTTTGAGTTTTTTATTACTTTTGTAAAATACATGCTGTAAATCATCCTTTGAGCCAATGGCGATTGGAAATAAGATTTATTTTGCTCATACGGTGTATTTGAACTCTATGCTTCATTTTGAGAGGGTTTGAAACAGTGAGAAAGTGCAGGAAAAATTGAGGTGTTCAAGGTCCGAATGTCCTCACTGTAACAGTACCTCTTGATGGAAGCCTATTCGAACTGGGGGTTGAATAAACGTGTTCTCTAAACAGTTTCTGGAAAATTCTTTGTGTATTGAACACCTCCCATACTATAGAATTATTAACCTGCTCTGTTATCTCGAACTAGGAGATAAACTTCTATCCCTAAGTAACGGGGTCGTCATTGTCTATCGGCATTGTGTTCATACATCAAGCGTTCCAACGAGACTGTCGAGTTGCCAACCTATTTTGTGATTTTGATCTTTAGATTCCTCTCTCTAGAGAGGAAAACCTTAACTTATAGAAAAACAGCCATCAACAGCATCATCATAGTGCGAGTTTCTGAACGATAGAAAAATAACTTGTTTTCAAACTTCTCGTGAACGGTTTGAACCTTTCGAATGAAAAACAAGTATAGTTGGCCCTGCATGTAGTCATTTGTTGTTTACACATCTTACTGCGTGTAGATATCCCCAGGCAATAAGAGTCAGAGGTTTTGCATTGTGCCTTTTTTTGTTTTTTAGTCATCGGAGTCTAGATGAGGTTGATGACGTTGATTCATTAGCTTATGTCGTTTAATTAAAAACTTAAGTGGTTTGTTTACTATTCTTGGTTGGTGTCTGGTCGTTCACAGTGCGATCGGTCGTTGTTTTTGACTATCAAAAAGAGGGTCACAGATTTGTTAACATATTGCTATTTAGTGCTACCCTCAGTAAATAAAAAGTTTACTTATTTACTTACTATATGGTCGGTTATTTTAAGTTCTTTTATTCTTTAATTTTGGGCGTTTCTTGCCGTGTATTTCATTAAACATTAGAGAGCTTAAGATTCTCGTTTACGGCAAACGTGAAACGTCAGTTAACTATTAAAAAATTCTTTAATATTAGTGAAAAGGAATCGCAAAAATCTCCAAGTAGTAGATAAACAAAAGAATACATGTCGAGAAGGTTTGCAAAAGGTAAAGTGAAATGTAGGGAAACGATGAAAACGTGGTCACGGGAGTCTTAATCTGCCTATTCTTGATAGTCTGGTCGATCAGTAGACCCGCGTTGGGTTTTTTTTTTTTTTTTTTTTTTTTTTTTTACAAAAAAGAGCTCTTCATGATCATTCTCCTTCCATTTTTCGCACTCAGTTTTTGGCTATTTGTGTTGTTTGGTCAGTATTGGCAGGGCCCGGTTGTACGAAGGGTGAATAGCGCTATCCAACGGATAAATCCTTGATAAGTCGATGCTGTTATCCAATAAATTTATTCACTGGATAAGATTTATCCTTCAGATAGTAGTATCCACTCTTCGTACAACCGGGCACAGGTCTTTTAGCTCAACTCGTTCTCCGATCGTCATTGCTGTTTTCATTTGACTATTTATGTCGTTTGGTCGGTTATTTACAGGTCTTCTAACTCGACTCGTTCTCCGATCGTCATTGCTGTTTTCATTTGACTATTTATGTCGTTTGGTCGGTTATTTACAGGTCTTTTAGCTCGACTCGTTCTCCGATCGTCATTGCTGTTTTCATTTGACTATTTATGTCGTTTGGTCGGTTACTTACAGGTCTTTTAGCTCAACTCGTTGTCCGATCGCCATTGCTGTTTTCATTTGACTATTTATGTCGTTTGGTCGGTTATTTACAGGTCTTTTAGCTCAACTCGTTCTCCGATCGTCATTGCTGTTTTCGTTTGACTATTTATGTGGTTTGGTCGGTTATTTACAGGTCTTTTAACTCGACTCGTTCTCCGATCGTCGTTACCGTTTACTTGGAAATTCATGCTCTTCGGTCGATGTTGAAAGATCTTCCAGCTCAACTAATTCCAATTCGTGCTCTTAGGTCGGTATTGACAGGTTTGGTAGCTCAACTCGTTTTCCAATCGTCATCGCTTTTTACTTAGTCACTCATACTCTTAGGTCGGTATTGACAGGTCCGTTATCTCTATATTCGTCAACAATTCATTTGTTCTTACACCCATGCTAATTTGATAAAACATCCAACCCAAAGGAACCTTATGGATAATGCTTCAACTTTAGTATACGTTAAAAACGATTACTTTGTTAACTGAAGTCACTTCAATCAACAAAATAGCCACTCGGTATATTGACAGCTAAAACTTGGACCACATTGTGTCCTTCTCACTTGCCTGTGTTTAACCAAGTCTGACACATTTCATAAGCTTATTACTAGAACAAATTTAAATATTACAGAAATGAAATGTTAGTATTCGCGTAAAAACTACCCAACCTTTACATCAAAGCACTTGTCATTTGACAACTCCAGCTTTATTTTTTTACCGTATATATATATATATATACACACACACACCTTATCTATCTTTCCTTCGATAAAAAATATTAACCTAAAGGAACAAAAAAAAATATAAAATAAACGAAAGATAAAATCTATATTTCATTAATTTTGATTTTTCAAATAATACTTCGATTGAAATGTAAAAATCTAAGGAACGAAGCAGGTAGAGAAATACATGAAAAAGAACCCGAAAACAAAAACTGTGAAAACACACATTTCATCTCGCTATTTTTGTTTTTGTTTTGTGTCGTCATTCTTATTTTCATATTAATATTTCATTGGCATTAGTCTTTTGGTGCTCATAAAATATTTTTTCCAGACTGTGGTTTTAGTCTGGGTTTTTATTATACGAGATATCTTTACCTTTCCCATTAGATCTGTCTGACTTCAAGATAACATTGAAGACAAATATATATCGAATACGACAAACTACCGCTCGTACTATAGATAAAGTTTGCATTAAAATGGCTCCAAAAAATCGATAACATAAGATACAAATCGACTGAAAATATGCAGATTGGTGGGGTTTCAAAGGCGCATGATACCCGATACCGTGTGATTGGCAACATACATTCCTGCATATTCAAATGGCTTCCCAAATCAAATTCAGTATGATTGGATGATGTAAATTTTCTCGTTTTCTGATTGGCTGAAAATGAAAGCTCTTTGTAACTTCCAGTATTCGTAATGCTGTTCTGTTTTTTTGCAAGACATCTTGAATATAAAACCAATAAAACAACATTGTATACTTTAGTAGACTTTTATGAAAGCGTTTACGCCCATAAAAATGCACAGAGGTTAGCGTCAAGAATAATGAAAAAGGTTTTGAAAAAGAAAAAAAATATTGAGGAAATTGAGGTCATGAGCATGTTGAGGTCAGTAAAGCTGACATTGTGGTGACGGAATAAAGACTTTATTTTTCTCCCTATCTACCCCATGTAAACGAAAGTAATAGTATTTACTGATATCAACTATCAATAATGCACTAAATAGCATAGCTATGATAAATAAGTTGTGAAAAGATATATAAAGATCAATTTCGATATTTCATTATAGTATTCTTAGTAAATACGAAAAGAAAACTGTTACTTATACATGAGATTGAATAGATGACCAATAGATGACCGATAGATGACCAATAGATTAACCAGCTTTAAGTCGGAATCTGATTTTCTAGCTGATTTTCTTATCAGTGGGAAGTCAAGTTACACGTAGAAAATTGAAAGGAAGAAAGTGTGCGAGGTTGTAGGGAACACTGAATGCATTCAGTCACTTAACAAAGCGCACAATGTATTCCCCGGGCTAATTACAGCTAACGTTATTAATATTTTAAACGCTAATTAAAAGCCGCATCGAATCGGATTATTTTCCTGGGGCAAGTACGAATGACAATACAAAGAGGTTTCTGAATTGTATGATTAGACCATTCAAGAATTCTGGAATTTTTAAAAGTCTCATATCATAAAACATCATTAATTCCAGTAATAATAATGAGTAATCTCCAGGGTTTTAAGTGGTAACGTTTGGAATAGTTCATTCATCCATCCATCCATTTATCCATTCATTCATCCATCCATTCATTCATTCATCCATTCATCYATTCATTCWTTCATCCATTCATCCATTCATCTATTCATTCTTTCATTCATTCATTCTTTCTTTCTTTCTTTCATTTATTCATTCCTTTCAGTTTCTTTCTTTCTTTCTTTCTTCCTTCCCTCCTTCCTTCCTTCCTTCCTTCCTCCCTCCTTCTTTCCATTTTCCTTTTTATTATTTCTTTCTTTCTTTCTTCCTTCCCTCCTTCCTTCCTTCCTTCCTTCCTCCCTCCTTCTTTCCCTTCTTCCTTTATTCATTCATTCATTCATATCAGAACTATCAATTCAGTTAATGCGTAAATTTAGTCCAGATTCTGTGAAAATGCGTTCAGCCATTTCAATCTCTCTCTCAACAGGTACGCAAAGTTTCCTAATACCAAAGGTAAACATGTCAATTGTTTCAAGGAATGGTCAGTCAGTTCGCTTCCGATGCCTGGACTTCAGCAACATCAATACCTTACTTTTTGTGCCGTCATTCACTTGGATAAAATCCAACCACACCAAAGAACAATTGGATATTGATAATAACGCTTTTGAACACATCCATAGCCATGGAAAAAAATACTTTTTTAAGAGCAGCCAGATTCGGCAAGACTTACAAGTGCAATGGCTGACAGTCGAAAACGTGACTGCCTCGGATTATGGATTGTATACCTGTGTTGTTTGTACCAAGTATGGACGACATTATCAAAGTGTTCTGTTTGAGCCTCTTCAACAAGGTAGGTCTGAATTCTATTCTATAATCGCCACCTGGTTGGCTCAGTTGGCTGAGCACTGGGTTTTCGGGCGGGAGGTCGAAAGGCCGAAAGGTCATTATCTGACAAATCATATCCAATTTAACACCTAAATTTATTTCTCATTTATTAAATTTCCTTTCTCATTCCATCACTTTCATTTTTCATTCATCTACTTCCATTTCTCATTTATTCACTTCCGCTTCTCTTTATTTTCAAGACAAAATATTTACACAAAGTCTTCAAACCCCAAGACCAGTTTCGAATCCAGCAGTGCCAACCAGTGACCTGACAACACCTACACCTACATTCGCCCGTCAGAAACACCTGCATTACCACCAAGGCACTACCATAGCCTTATTTGTGGTCGGGTCACTTCTTTTCATCGTTGTCTTACTGGGAGTCTTATATGTACTGCGCAAAAAGATCTTTAAAGCGTTCTATTCATCAGAGCTAACCTATCCTGGAGCTTCTCAGTTCGTGGAAATTGGAGTTCCTTCTCAGCGGGGTTCATTTTGTGATAGCGAAGCAAATCGAAAGCTTAGCGCGGCGACCTCGATTGCAAGTCATAGAAATTCAACAAGTTCTACAGCTCCATTGATGAAACCTCGTCATAGCAGCGCTCGTGCACCAAACTCTGGCCAGAGCCAGATGACATACATATCCGAAGTAGATGGTACAGAAGGTAATAAATTCTTAACAAAAAGTGTTGCTAAAAAATGAAATATTGGACAAAAATGATAAAATGAATATTAGAGTAGCTGTCATTAAGTTCAGAGGCATAGAGCAGTTTTCGTACAACTGTGAAAAACCTTGAAATGTACCCAAGCATTCTGATAGGATGACTAGTGATCTCACCCACTGTGATTGGTTAAAAAGATCTCATCAATTTGTGAAATGACCGTGCTGCGTGACGTAACGTATGGTCACATGAACGTATCGTCACCGTGCTGCGTGACGTAACGTATGGTCACATGAACTTCCCATTAAATAGGTAGTATTGATAGTCAAGTGTGAGAATGGTGATGCAGTACATGCTGTTTTCATGAACAAAAACATGTTTTTTTCAGTAGCAGACGTCTTCGAAGTGGAAGCTGATGAATCCTGGGAAATCCCTCGAGAACACATGGTGCTTGAAGAAACAATAGGCGAAGGAGCATTTGGGACAGTTATGAAGGCAACAGCCTACGGTCTATCGGGGAAGCCATCAAAGTATACGGTTGCAGTCAAGACTCTCAGAGGTATCATAGCTATAACCCATCTTATCACAGATATCACTATTTGAATTAGTGCAAGTGAAAGACTGGAATCCAACCACAGGAAGCCCGCACTTATTACGAGAAAATGGAATTTTCTAATAACACAGCCAAGAACACATGTTCTCTTGCTACGACCAAAGTCGTTGTCAGAAAAGTAGAATTTAGAAGAATGCGCTTCATTAGATGGCAAGCAGTGGTGCGTTACTGCGTGCAGTATATAGTTACATACTTGCATATTTAATCTATGGTTCATACTTTGTGCCATGCATAGTCTCGAAGCACAGTTTTGATTCGATAGAATTAGCTTTTCGAAGCGATATCACTTGATACAACTATTGACTAGAGTAATATGTTGTCGTAGGTAAAATTGCGCTTATCAATCTCAGATGCCGCAATAGACCTTATTCGTGGTGTGACAATGTTTTCCCAATTCAACGTGACAAACCTCTGGGGGAATGAAGAGCTATTGTTTTGAAACTCGTCGGGATATCATCGTTATTCCTTTCGTATCCTTTGGGACACTCATGAATTTTTCGAAGAGTAAAAACAAAAGCAAAAGGAATCCTATGGAGGTTCGTCACGCTGAATAGCCCACTTCAGAGACACGCTTCGCTTGTCAAATACAAAGGTTTCAGTATGAGGCTCCGTGCTAAATGCTCAGTCATTTGTGACAAGATAAAAGAATAAATTGAATTTAGCACTGAGCCTCGAACTGAAACCTTTGTACTTGACAAGCGAAGCCTATCTCTGAAGTAGGCTATTGGGAAAATATTGTCACACCACGGATAAGGTCAATTGTCTAGTATTTTTAGTATGGGATAAATGAATGTCTTTTTAAAACGGTGTGTGCGTCCCTCAAATTTACTGGAAGCTAATTTCGATAACTTTGCGTTGTTATTTTCGTAGATGACGCAAAGAATCAAGAACTCATCGATTTTATTGCTGAAATCGAAACCATGAAAAACATCGGACATCACAAGAATATTATCAATATGATTGGAACATGCACTACGGAAGGTAAGTCATTTGTCTTAATTAAACAGATGTGTCGCATGCGCGTAAAGACATAATATATAGTAGTTAAATAGTGGAATCTGATTGGTGACGCTAATTTGTCTATTTTTATTGGCTACGATACTCAGTATAGTCTTTAAGTCAATTTTGAAAAACAGTTAGAACTTTCTTCCAAATAGACGTTATTACACTACAAACCATAGCTAATTTTTTTAAACAAATTGAGCAGGGTATATAAATTCAACTGATCAAACTACGTTAAAACTACACCTTATTGAAAATTCAATTATGAGTCGTGCAATACACCACTTGAATGTGACGTCAAAGCAGCTCAATTTGAAGGAAAAACTAAAGAATTTCAATCTCCTGAGAATTGAAAATCTATGGTAATGTCCTCCAAATTGATCTGCATTCCGACGTGCTGCAAGGGATCTATAACGTTTGGTACTGACCTTACATAGGACCAATACTACTGGTTGTTGAACATGCTTTCCATGGGAACCTCAGAGACTTCTTGCGCAATCACAGATGTCCAAGCACAACCACTGACATCCACTTTAATAACAACCCTCACAAACAGCTTGAAGACGCACCTCTGACCATTGGAGACTTGATCTCATTCTCGTATCAATCTGCTAAAGGAATGGAATATCTTGCGTCAAAAAAGGTAAATAAGCGCGCAAAATAGTCAGCTAAATCTTCAGTCCTATTGTAATAAACGAGGGCGCATAGAGCCAGCGCGCAAACGGGGCTGAAAACCTTTTCCTGTGTGAAAATAGTACTGGCGCAAAATAAATCGCTAAACAAACGTCCTAAAAAAACATAGTTATTTCTTGCTTGTAAGGTAAACGCACACAGTCAGCGCGCAAACGTTAAAAGGTTTTGACTTGTAAAATTATTCTATATGCTTGTAAGCACATTCTGTCGCAGGCTAGGTTAGTCGTGCCCTCAATCGAGACGGGCGTTAACAGCCAACTTTCGATTTTCTGTTTGAATGGTCAAGCACAAAACATTTCTAGTTAAGATCGTCCCCATGAAATAGAGTGCAAACCATATATCCGTGAAACAGTACTAATTAGTACAAAATAGCACCAATGAAACAACTGAAAAAAAGAAATAGATGTGTTTAGTGCTATTTAGTTTTTGTGCTATCATGGTTTGCACTCTAATGTTAACTACAATATTCATTCCGAAAATAATGTTGACTGCACTTTTCATGCTGAACGTGCGCCGTTTTTTCGACAGTGCATTCACAGAGACCTCGCTGCGCGCAACGTTTTGGTAGCGGAAGACTACGTCATAAAAATAGCTGATTTTGGATTATCAAGAAACCTAAACGACGCAGATTATTACAGAAAAACGACAAACGTGAGTAACACATATACTTGTATCTAAGTGGACAGGAGTTCGTTTTACCGTAAATATCCGGAATGGAAATTTTGATGACCCATGAAAAAGGTATCACTGAAAGGAGCGTATCCAGTGGTCGTAATCTCCATGTGACCCCCCCCCCCCTACCCCCACCCCCACAATGTGCGTATACCTATGCCAATGAAATTTGCCGGAGCTAAAGGTGCCGGATAGCTCATAGGTCATATGTCATCGTAGATAGGTCATTGAGGTCCTGTGTGTGTATTCGTCTCAGATTTGCTACTGGGAAAAGAAACGAGGGTTTGACAGTCACGTCTTTCGTTTCAATTCAGGGCCGACTTCCCATCATGTGGCTGTCTATAGAAGCTTTGTTTGATCAAAAGTACACCCTCATGAGCGATGTGTAAGTACATAACAAATTGTTGCGTTAAGTAGATTTAAATTAAGGTTACTGGAGACCTTCAGGGTTATGTTTCGTATATGACTATCTCTTCGCCACACTTTAAACAAAACCCCATGAAACTATACACCTAATATTGAAAAAACATAGTCGGGTTCGAGAAGGTCATATTATCGAAGCTAAGACCGAAAACGATTTTGGGTACTCCGAAATGTGTATTATTTTTGCATATAAAACCCGACGTTTTTTTCAATTAGGTGTATATCGTTTTAAAGGTCATATAATAGAGATTCAGAAAATAATATCATTTGAAAGCGATTTTTTAATTTGAAACAATGCCGGAGCCTTAAACACAAATCGGGCACGTTTAGTATAGGTGAATTAATAGACATGGATTTAGCGCGTATTCTCGACTTTCACATCCCCATAATCCTTTGCGTCTTTGGGGGGTAACCAGAGGGTAAAAACCCACTTATTTTGCTAAAGGCTGATCAGACAACGTTGAAAATACCTTGTTTGGTATCCAAAGATAAAATTAAGAAGTAAAAAACAGAAAAAGATAGAAGCTTGAAGACGTTTAAGGTAAATTTTAAACATTTTTTCGTAAGTCAATACATTTTCTGTAAGACCAAAACTCTTCATGATCTGTACACGCAAAAATAACTTGGAATAAACTGATAATCAGTATTGTACAGATAAAAGCAGGTATAAATAGTATAAATTCAATTAAGAAACCTTTCAATTTGGGACAGTTTTTTGATTGGTTACCCCCCAAAAACGCAAGGCATAGGAAAATAGGAGAATAGGAAAAAGAATTTCACTATGTGAATAAGCAATATGCCACGAGAGGGAAGTGGGGGGAATGTTCTTCTCTCTACGGACGCATAGATTTGAATCGCTTCTCTGGCTTTCTTCTTTATTTCTGTATTTCTTCTTTGGCTCTGCGTCCAACTCTGAACGACTTCTCAACTCCAGCTACTTCTACTACTTCTTCTGAACAACTGAACTACAAACTGTGCTGCTTGCATTTAAGTAGCAATGACAAACTTAATGAGATGACGTCAAGCAGAAGCTTGATTGACATCTCACACAACGATTCTCATTGGCTAGTCAAATGCAAGCATAATAATTATCTAGTTCCCAATTCCCTAGGAGGAATTTGTATTCGCATAGATTTACAATATTTATCTTATACGAAAACGTCCCGCACCTTAACCGTCGCTAGACTAGGTAGTTTTCTATTAGCTATTGAAATAAGGTTAGGAGGTTATTCGAAATTAATAGAGATTTGACTGTTACAAAGTGAGGCTATCAGTCGATTACTGACAGCGCCCAGTTACTTAATATTCATTCGAATTGGGACAAATACCGCCCAATTGCTAAATCAAAACAACTAAATCTAATCTTAGAAAATGTAGTCACAAATCCTGTTGCTTCTTCTTCCTATCTATCGAAATGTCCATCAACATTTGCCGATCTTCCATTATCTTTGACAGTTCGGCTTCTTGTTGTWTACCTATTCCTATCTTATGTCAGACTCTCTGGCGTTCACTGAGCCATAAATGATTTTTCTCTACTTATGGATTAATTATCATTGATTCCTTAATTACAAAAAGATAAACTACAAAAGGGTGTGAGCGATTTTTTATATTTTGCTTCTTTAAAAAGTTATTAAATTTTAAAGTTCGAGCATCGAAAAATTTCAATGCCGGTTAATGTTTTACCGCATAAAAGACGAAATACTCAAAATATCAAAATTCGCTCACACCCTTTTGTAAATCATCTTTACTTATTCACGTAGTGAGGTTCTTTTGGCTATACGCGCTAACGCCATTTCCATTAATTCACCTCTACGGAACGTGCCCGATTTGTGTTTAAGGCTCGGCATTGGTTCGAATTAGAAAATCACATTGAAATAATAGTATTTTCGAAATCTTTATCATATGACCTTTAAAACGATATATAGTATTAGGGGGTTTTATTTAACGCGTTGCGTAGAGAGAGCTTAAGACAAACATACCCCTGAAGGTCTCCAGTAACCTTAACAGTAAGACACAACGCCCGTTTTAAAGAGGACGGCGCGCGCACGAAAAAGAAAGCCGCCTAAGCAGCTAAGACTAAAGCTAGTCTTCAAGACTATAGTCTCGTTCTGAAGTATGTCTAATAGAGTGGTTTTCGTATGAGAAACGATAGAATAAATTCGTATTTGCACTGTAGCTATATAATATCTTATCGTAACCGTAAATACGATTTACTGGAAAACTATGGGAAGCTCCTTTTCGTATGTTTCCCACTCGCATGACGTAATTTCAGAGTTGAAGCATGTCGTACAGTTGATGTGGTGTAAGTACCGTGTGTTACGCACTCGCATGATAATAAAGTCATTTCAGTGTTGCAACAAGTCATACCGTGTACGTGCTGTGGTCAGTACCATGCATTCCCCCCTCCCGGCAAAACCACTCATATCTATGGTAGAAAACTGCTATAAAAATCCATTTTCGCAAACAAATGATTTTTCTATAAGTTTAATTTAATTTTGTTTAATTTTGTTTAATTTCGTTGTTATTATTGTCGTGTGTGTTTACAGATGGTCATTTGGTGTGTTGCTGTGGGAAATCTTTACTTTAGGTAGGTCACAGCATAGTTAATAGAGGGGGGGAATAGTATTATTCTACCTATTCATCAATAGTAACACACAGCCCGCAGCACGCGGCACACAGCACACGGCATACGGCACACGGCACACAGCACGCGGCACGCAGCACGCGGCACACGGCACACGGCACACGGCACACAGGTTGACATTCCAAAAATGTTTTTCTATTTTAACACAAATGATAATATTTCGTTCAAAAATAACTGTATATCTGTATCAATAGGAAGTACACCATACCCTGGGATATCACCTGAAACAATTTTTACTCTACTGAAATCAGGCTACAGAATGGCATCGCCACAGAACTGCTTGCCAGAAATGTTAGTATTCAAGATAATGATAAGTGGTGATGGTGATGATCTGGGTGGCTTTTGGGTGGGCCTAAGGAGCCACAGACCCTCCTTTTAGTTTACTTTGGTTAGTCATACAGGTTGCTCTCATGCCAAAGTGTTCCAGACCACCCACCCACCCCCCTTTTCTTATTCCTGGATTTGCCTGGATTTGCCTGGATTTGCCCCTGATAATATTAATAATAATAAATGGATAAATGGGAATAAATGATGATGATGAAAACGAAGATTAATTTTTGATGGTAACTGATGATGATGACCTATGATAATTGTTGATGGTAATGAGTCTTGATGGTGATAATATTATTAATAATTAATACAGTATCTGAAGATGATTATAATAATCATGATTTTTTTTTTTTTTTTTTTTTTTTTTTTTTTTTTTTTTTTTTTTTTTTTTTTTTAAAAGAAAAAAATTTCTGAATGTGGTCCAAAAATAACTTAACATTATCCTAATAATAAAATCTCTTTCTGCACAGTTATGCACTGATGTTAAGATGTTGGAGTGAGAAGGTGACTGACAGGCCAATAATGGAGGAAATAGCAAAAGAGCTTGACTACTTTTTGGCCTCGTCTACAAGTGTGGTAAGTAATCTTTTTCTTTTTGAGTTAGAATAGATCTTAACCCAAGCATGATGACGTTTTAATTACTTACACTTTCAGAATCCCATTTGTAGTCTAGAAGCTAAACCCAGAATTTTTCAAGTTGGCTGCACCCCATGGGTGGCCAAGGTTTCTTGGTATCATTTTAAAGCTTGAAGCCTGTAGATTACGAATCTGCTTGTCGCCACTTGAAAAAAGTGTCCAAACAGCTTGGCGACCTGGCCTAAAGTACATACTTTCTATT